TAGGATCCAGCGGGAACCTGAATAGTGCCAGGACGAATCCTGTTGTCAGAGATTACCATCTTGTTCATGCTAGAGAATTTCCATGGAGGTGAATTTTCATCTTCTAATGCCCTGTCTTTATTGCAGAGCACTGACTGACAGTGTTCACAAGTGACGTGAAAATGTAGAGTTGACTGATGATGATAATAGCCGGCGTTTGTTAAGTGTGGCAGGAGCCCTTGTGAGGACTGTTTATGTACCAGCTCAGTTGATCGATTTAATTGTGACAGTTCTGTAAGCTCCTGTTACTGCCCCACTCCGTGGATGAGAGCACTGAGGCATAGTGAGGCGAAACCTTGCCCTTGGCCCCGTGGCTTTGTAGGTAGCAAAGCCAGAACATAGACCTAGGATGTCTACGTCTTGAGTCTTTGTGGTGGTTGTCATTTAAACGATGCAGTGTGTGGACAGTTCTGTTTTTAGAGTCCCTGTAAGCTCTGACTTTGTGTGTGTGTGTGTGACTTCAGAAAAAAGTCTAGAGAATATAGCCAGCTTTGCCTAGTGAGGGTGGATTTTTGTGGCCTTAGCAATTTACTGTAGATCACGTGAATTAATCAGCTACTTCATGCTTCCTTCGTGCCAGACAGTGTGCTCTTGGCGCCAAGAATACAGTGGCGGGCAAATCCAAGTCTCTGATCTCACAAGGTAATGTTCTATAGGTGATAGGATGATAAACTGGTAAATACATAAATAAGCATGATAATAAAATAGTGGAAAGGAGGGAGATAAATCAGGACGCTGCGGTTGAGGATGAGAAAGGGAGGCTGTGATGGTGACTTAGGATGTGATGTCTGAGGATGTGACCTGGGATTCTGGACGTGGAAGGCAAAGTGGAGACCGCCTTGGCCGTCTGAGCCAGGGCTCTTCAGCAGAAGGACCTGCGAGGGCGGGGCTAGACAATGCACACGCAGGACAGATGAGGTCAGGACAGGTGCTGGCTGTTCAGGCGCTCCATCGCATCTGATTCTTTGTGACCCCAGGGACTGCAGCGCACGAGGCTTCCCTGTCGTTCACCATCTCCCGGTGGAGTCAGGGGTGCATGCAAAGACTGGTTCCCAGTGAGATGAGAGATAATTAAGAACCAGACCATGTTTAACCTTGTAGGTCCATAGGGAAGAATTTTCAGCCTATTATAAGCAGAGTAGGAAGCCATTGAAAGTTTAAAGCAGAGAATGATATAAAAGATAATGTTACAAATATAAATGCACACACACACCCTTCTGATTTATAATAAATCATTTTGCTATGGTTTGTCCCTCTTGTTGCAAAGGTATTTTAAATTGTGTTTAAAGAGCCTAGGTATTTGAAGTTTTACTGCATGTAGTATTTGTTTTACTTTTTTGAAATAAAATTATTTATTTCAATAAAAATATTAGTTTTATTCCTACTAGTAATAGCCGCTATGTTTGAACCTACCAGTCACTATAGATTTACATACATTGAGTTACTCAAGCCTTACAACATTCTAATAATAAGCACGAACATTTCCATTTTATAGACAAAGAAACTGAAGTTAAAAGAGAGTAAGCAACAGTGTTATTAGTGCTATAACCAGGCTTTGAACCTAGATCTGTCCCTGCTCTTACACATACTTACATCCTACTCAGGCTGCGAGGTATATAAAGTCTACATAGTAATTCTAGAAAATATTATAACTTGTGGTCTGCCCTTAATACATCACTTAATTTTTTAATTAGTTTATTTTAATTGGAGGCTAATTACTTGACAACATTGTGGTTTCTGCCATACATTGACATGAATCAGCCACGGCTGCACATGTGTCCCCCATCCTGAACCCCCCTCCCACCTCCCTCCTCACCCCATGCCCCTGGGTTGTCCCAGAGCACTGGCTTTGAGTGTCCTGCTTCATGCATTGAACTTGCACTGGTCATTTTACATATTGTAATATACATGTTTTGATGCTACTCTTTCAAATCATCCTACCCTCACCTTCTCCCACAGAGTCAAAAAGTCTGTTCTTTACATCTGTGTCTCTTTTGCTGCCTTTCATTACCATTTTATAAATTTTTGTTACCATTTTATAAATTTCATACATATGTGTTAATATACTGTATCGGTGTTTCTCTTTCTGACTTACTTCACTCTGTGTAATAGGCTCCAGTTTCATCCCCCTCATTAGAACTGACTCAAATGTGTTCTTTTTTATAGTTGAGTAATATTCTATTGTATATATGTACCACAGCTTTCTTATCCTTTTGTCTGCCGATGGACATCTAGGTTGCTTCCTTGTCCTGGATATTGTAAACAGTGCTGTGATGAACATTGCGGTGTATGTGTCTTTTTTGATTCTTGTTTCCTCTGTGTGTGTGCAGAGTGTATTTCCTCAGTCATATGGGAGTTCCATTTCCAGTTTTTTAAGGACTCTCCACCTTGTCCTCCATAGTAGCTATCCCAGTTTGCATTCCCACCAACAGTGTAAGAGGTGTCCCTTTTCTCCACACCCTCTCCAGCATTTATTGTTTTTAGACTTTTTGATGATGGCCATTCTGACTGGCATGAAATGATACCTCATTCTGGTTTTGATTTGCATTTCTCTAATAATGAATGATGTTGAGCATCTCTTCATGTGTTTGTTAGCCATCTGTATGTCTTCTATGGAGAAATGTCTGTTTAGTTCTTTGCCCCACGTTTTGATTGGGTTGTTCATTTTTCTGGTATTGAGCTGCTTGTATATTTTGGAGTTTAATTCTTTATTAGTTGTTTCTATTATTTTCTCCCATTCCGAAGGCTGCCTTTTCACCTTGCTTATAGTTTCCTTTGTTGTGCAGAAATTTTTAAGTTTAATTAGGTTCCATTTGTTTATTTGATGCGGGAAAGATTGAGGGCAGGAGGAGAAGGGAACAACACAGGATGAGATGGTTGGATGTCATCACCGACCTGATGGACATGGGTTTGGGTGGACTCCGGGAGTTGGTGATGGACAGGGAGGCCTGGCATGCTGCGGTTCATGGGGTCACAAAGATTCGGACATGACTGAGCGACTGAACTGAACTGTTTATTTTTGTTTTTATTTCTATTACTCTGGGAGGTGGGTCATAGAGGATCCTGCTGTGATTTCTGTCAGAGAGTGTTCTGCCTATATTTTCCTCTAAGAGTTTTATAGTTTTTGGTCTTATATTTAGATCTTTAACCCATTTTGAGTTTTTGTTTATGGTGTTAGAAAATTTCTAGTTTCATTCTTTTACACATGATTGACTAGTTTTCCCAGCACCACTTGTTAAAGAGATTGTCTTTTCTCCATTGTCTATTTTTGCCTCCTTTGTCAAAGATAAAGTGTCCATAGGAGCATGGATTTATCTCTGGGCTTTCTATTTTGTTTCATTGATTTATGTTTCTATCTTTGTACCAGTATCATACTGTCTTGATGACTGTAGCATTGTTGTACAGTCTGAAATCAGGAAGCTTGATTCCTCCAGTTCCATTCTTTCTCAAGATTACTTTGGCTATTCGAAGTTTTTTGTGTTTTCATACAAATTGTGAAATTATTTGTTCTAGTTCTGTAAAAAATACTGTTGGTAGCTTGATAGGGATTGCATTGGATCTATAGATTGCTTTGGGTAGTATACAATTTTCACTATATTGATTCTTCCAGTCAACGAACATACTACATTTCCCCATCTATTTGCGTCATCTTTGATTTCTTTCATCAGTGTTTTATAGTTTTCTATATTTAGGTCTTTTGTTTCTTTAGGTAAATTTATTCCTAAGTATTTTATTCTTTTCATTGCAGTGGTGAATGGGATTGTTTCCTTAATTTCTCTTTCTGTTTTTTCATTGTTAGTGTATAAGAATGCAAGGGATTTCTGTGTGTTAATTTTATAACCTGCAACTTCAGTATATTAATTGATTAGCTCTAGTAATTTTCTGGTGGTGTCTTTAGGGTTTTCTATGTAGAGGATCATGTCATCTGCAAACAATTTTACTTCTGCTTTTCCAATCTGGATTTCTTTTATTTCTTTTTCTTCTCTGATTGCTGTGGCTAGGACTTCCAAAACTATGTTGAATAATAGTGGTGAGAGTGGGCACCCTTGCCTTATTCCTGATTTTAGAGGAAATGCTTTCAGTTTTTTGCCATTGAGGGCAATGTTTGCTGTGGGTTTGTCATATATGGCTTTTATTATGTTGAGGTATGGTCCTTCTGTGCCTGGTTTCTGGAGAGTTTTTATCGTAAATGGGTGTTGAATTTTGTCAAAGGCTTTCTCTGCATCTATTGAGATAATCATATGGTTTTTATCATTTAGTTTGTTAATATGCTATATCACTTTGATTGATTTGTGAATACTGAAGAATCCTTGCATCCCTGGAATAATACTTGCTTTGACCTCTGATTTTGCACAACAAAATACTGATTTCTATTTAAAATTAATAAATACCACAGTTACATCATAGCTTTTTGAAATAAGCACCAGCAAAAGGCTGATGGATGATGCTACCTAGGACAGTCTCTGTGGGGGAGATGCTCTTTCAGTTATCTGAGGCTGAGGACATATTTTAATGTTAAAAGTAAAGTAAAATTGCATTCACACACTGATCTTGCGTATTTTCCCATTAGTCTCACTCTTAGATTTCTTGAATCACAAGGGACAGGCAGGCAGGCACCAGTGACCCTGGTTCTCCAGAGTTAATCAGCAGCATGAGATTGAGGCCTGCACCCAGCAGTTAGAAATTACCCTTGGCAGTGGCAGCTATAATTTTGTAAATTTGTGGAAGGCTGGGGTTGGCTCCTAAAAAAATGGGTGTTGATAGTGACATCTAGCGGGTCTTGAGGAGATAAAAGTTCTGTGACCTATGAAATACGTAATTGTCAAGTACTGTCTGAGGAGCCAACTCTGTCTTTGCCGAACACGTTCTAAAACGGACAAGTGTGTCCTCGGTCATCCAGCTGGGTGGATGTGAAATACGAGACCCTCAGGAGCACCAAAACTTGCTTTTTCTTCCTTTAGACAGAAGACCCAACCATGGAGCGACCCTACACGTTTAAGGACTTTCTCCTCCGACCAAGAAGGTGAGGCTTTAGGCTGCTAGCCATTCTTTATGCTTTGGCCTTGGTTTTCTCTGAGGAAGATTTCAGCATCTTTCCCAATTTCATCTATTTAAAGCATCATAAATATGAAGTGTCAAACCAAATCACATCCTCTGTAACCAATTTTTCTTCCATCATGCAGTCATAAATCTCGGGTTAAGGGATTTTTGCGATTGAAAATGGCCTATATGCCCAAAAACGGAGGCCAAGATGAAGAGAACAGTGAGCAGCGGGATGAGATGGAGGTAAGCCGGGCGCTCCGGGCTGTGGTCTGTTTTCTTTCCCTAAGAGCGTGTAGATATTTTACATGAAGGTTTTATAATTTAAGGAACTAAATGTTTATAAATATGAAGGAACTTAAATGTGTTCATGAATTTGCATCTTCCACGGATCTACCAATATGTTTGCTTTTACCAAAAAAGGTGAGCTTTTCATTTTACCTTATAACGCTAAGCATTGAAGAGATGTCTTTTTATGAATAGCTCTAACCCCTGTTCTATTAACAGCCCCACCACTGTGTGAAATTCTCCCCCACATATTTAATTCTCTTATTTCTTTGGACTTTAGCACTTAGTAACGTCCTTGTAGCACTTGGAATGGCTTCAAAGTGGGTAAAATGATGTAGAAGCTGTTCCAAGTTTCTTACTCGTTTGGCCAGCAGGTGAAAGCATGCATTAGAAAAGCTCTCCTCTAGAAAGGCCTTTCTGCAATTAGCTGTCCAGAGGAATTTTCTTTTGTTCCCTCTTGGCAAGTTAAAAAGAAAAATACCACCTTTTAACTTTCCTGTCACATATGTCTACCGTGGGTCCTATCGGACATTCGCAGCACAGGCTCCAGACAGTGCTGTTTCATTAGACACATTCTCATAATTGTTCAGAGAATGTCCATTCACGAGACCTCTCCATGGCCTGTTTGCACATCTGTTTGCAGCTGTTGCATATACATGGTGTGTGAATAATGCATTATGGGCAAGTAACTGCACCCACCCCCCAAGACCCAGAGGTCATATTTCCAAGCAGTATTTCATGTGCAGGCTTTCATCTCTCTCTGGGAGAAGGACTGAAGTGGGTGGTAGGCAGTCTTGACTGTTAAGATTTCATAAGCACATCCATACATTTTTATCCCGAATCCAAGGAATTTTTTTTTTTTTACACTCCTCCAGCCTTCCAACTGCAGTAACCAGTGAATTAGTTAATTTTCCAGTGACTTTACTAGGGGATGTCAGGAAGGAATACTTAATGCCGAAAATATGTGTTGCAAAAGAGTACCTCTGACTTGGGGACCGTGAAGGCTGCTGACACGGTGGCAGCAGATGGGAAATGACTGAGTAGGAAGAGGCAGCTTCCAGGCTGTTCCTGGCTGCCGTGCATGCTTGTCCTCCCTAGAGGGGTGTCAGGGAGCTCCCCCTCCTCTGGGGGCCACTTTCCCATGGTCCTCCCTAGGGAGCAAGAGTGCCCCAGGCCTCTTGGTGGCCTGCCCGTGGCATCTGCAAGAACGCACGTGCTATGAGGCTCATCTTCCCAGCTCCCTCCTACCTTCCGGAGGTGTTGAAAAGACAACAGCTGTAGCATGACCCATATGATCGGCATGGCTTTGTACAGCCCCAGAGGTCATCAGGTCAAAATAACAAACACGAAATATGAAAGAGTGTAATGGGACGTAGGTAATGTGAGGGGCTGCTCAGATCCCCGTCCATGTCATGACCCGCCCCGCCGTCCTCGGGGAGGGCAGTGCGGTTCGTTGGCCATGGCTCAGAGTGATTTTGTGACTCTCTTAGAATTGACTTTTTTTCCGCCTTGTTTTAAGAATTTCTTGAAATGTGGTGCACAAAGCCACTGCCGGAGCCCATGGGAGTGAGGACAAAGGGCATGGATGCCCTGGAACCAGCGAACCAGCCTGACGCCCTTCCCTCTCTTCTGTCCCACAGCCCGGGTGGGAAGTCGTTGACTCCAGTGACTCGGCGTCTCAGCACCAGGAGGAGCTGCCCCCGCCTCCGCTGCCCCCTGGCTGGGAAGAGAAAGTGGACAACCTGGGCCGCACTTACTACGTCAACCACAACAACCGGACAACGCAGTGGCACCGACCCAGCCTAATGTGAGTGCCATCCGTGGTCGCGAACACGTCCCCCACTCTGCACACACATGCCCACGTGGCGGCTCTTTGGAACAGAGCTGGGAAGCACGTCTTCCATCAATGGAAGTGCGTGGTTGTGCGTTGCGACGGGAATCCTCTTGGTGTAGTTAGAGGGCGTGGGAACCTAACAGAGTTCATAGGTTGTAAAGATGCCCTGGCATCTGTATCATGGTCTCCTGCTGTAAATATGCACTAATTTACTTTGCATGTCATCTTTATGTAGAGTCATGAGATGTAAAACCAAGATCATTTTTTTAGGTTTAGCTCAATGCACGGTGATTACTTCTCTGCTCCCTTCTTCAGTTTCAGCACATATTGGCTGTGCCATTTCCTCTTTAACTTTTTGGAGTTTTATTCCATAATTATTTGATTTAGAAACCCTCTCAAAACTTTTTTTTCCCCTTTTTGAGAAATTTATAGATCACCCCCGTGATATCATTAGAAGCAGGTGGGAGGGTTGCTAACTCACAGTTGGTAACACTCTTTGTTCTAGTCCCTCGCCAGTCTCAGGGACACAGTGAATTGATTATTATTTTGTTCAATGGACAATTTTTGGTTTAATAATAGCAAACACTAATTAAACCTCATGATTGTAAAAAAGGATTTGAAGCAGCTTGTTTTTAAATGATAGTATACAGCAAGACCTAAAACTATTAATATACAATAAAAGACAAAAAAAAAAAAAATGTAAAAGGAAAAGGCTATCCTAGAAAAGGTGAGCTCCCTGGCAGCCAAGACAAGGAAGTAATTATCAGTAAATTATATAATTTTCAGTATGAATAAAGGCAAGTATATCAGGTGAGATAATTTTCTCTTTAACCCAGACTCTGAAGGAAATTAGCGGATGATGGTTTTTGAACAGGTGTTAGCAAAGTGATGGATGGTGTTGTCAATAACCCTTTTGTCTTTAGAAATTGCAACTGTTGTCTGCATAAGACTGTGAGGTGGGAAGGGTTGCCAAGAAGTCTAGTCTAGGTGTTGTTTGATTTAGAGGAAAAGCTTGCAGAATCTGCAACAGTGAAGGCCAGTCCTTCCTAAGCCCCTAAGTGGGTTCTCGTTAATATCAGGTGCCCTTGGTCAGCTTTGGACCACCTAACATGAGCACCAGCTCATTGCTGCCGAGACAGCATAGTATCCCAGCATCCAGATGATGTCAAACTCTTCTTTGTTATAATTTTTTCCACATAGAAATATAAATGGAAATGGTTTCATTGGTTTTTTAATTAATTTGTTTTTACTATTTCCCTTTAATCAATGACCAAAGCTATTAAAACTGTTTTAAATCATTTGACTAGTGTAGTTATTTGTAGTTTAAAAAAAAAAGTAACCACCTTGGACTCGGTTACATGTAGTGATCACAAGATTCTTGGTAGCAACACCCTGAGCAAAGTGCCTTTATCTACCTTTGTTAAAGGTCATAGGAAAACAGTATCTGAAAATAACACTTCATGGGGACCCTAGTGTCATGTGACCTCTGTAAGAAAACAAAGTGACCACTAGCAGCTCACCGAGACTAATAACCAAGATATATATGGAGAAATGTTCGCTGTCATGAATAACTATGCAGACCAAAGTCTGTGTTTGGGGGTAAATGGGAGCAGTTGTCATTTTCTCTGCCTCAGAGGTGAAACTAATGAAGAAACCCCTAAGAAACACTTCACACGTTTTTTTAAACACACCACCTTCAGTGTCCTGTAGAACTGAACCAGTGACCTCTGTAAGAAAACAAAGTGACCACTAGCAGCTCACCGAGACTAATAACCAAGATATATATGGAGAAATGTTCGCTGTCATGAATAACTATGCAGACCAAAGTCTGTGTTTGGGGGTAAATGGGAGCAGTTGTCATTTTCTCTGCCTCAGAGGTGAAACTAATGAAGAAACCCCTAAGAAACACTTCACACGTTTTTTTAAACACACCACCTTCAGTGTCCTGTAGAACTGAACCAGAACAAAAGCTGTGACTTATGTAAATACTGGCTCCTCAGGAGTCCAGAAATAAATTGGGAAACTGTGGTTCTTCCAAGTTCAGGTTCACATGTAGTTTAGGGAGACGTCAGTGACGTGATGGTCTGCACAGGTGGCTCACCAGAAGGGACATTGGCAGAGCTCTGGGTGCAACTTACCAGCTGCCTCCTTCCCATCAGGCACGACATCTAGAAAACAAGAGACAACTAAGATGAGGGAAAAGGGTTGGCTTCCATGATAACCTCCTGTCTGAACCGTTTGAGAATATGAGGTTCTTTGTCCTTAACCTGATTTGGCTTGACCAGAGCCCTCAAGCCCTCCAGATGATTTTAAAGTTGTTTTAATTGAAAAATGATTTTTCTCATAAATCAGTTTTCACAGAATGCTACAGGCACTCCAGGGAGGGGGGGGCGCGGCAGGTATTAACGAGTGTCTTTATTAAAAGGCTGTATCTGAGCTGAGAAAGTCAGATAATGAAGTGATGGTCACATTCTACAGAGAATGAAGGCCCTCCTGGGGCGTCTCAGTGCTTACCCAGACTTGCGCTCCAGGCTTCAGCCCCTGCCAAGTCCTCCTGGACATCCCATTGCCCTCAGGCTGTCCTTGCAGGATCCTGCCCTCCCTGCTTCTTGCCGCCCACGGTCACCATCACAGAGCGTCTGATCATGCAGGCTGCTCTTGAGGACTTTCTCTCCTGGGCCCTGCAGATGTGCTGCCCCTCGTCCCCTCCAATAAAACAAAACCAGAATGTGCCTCTCCCCCTGGCAACCTTCGGATGTCAGCCTCCTGTCCTTTCCTCCAGGAGAGCCAGACCTCTTCTGTCCCAGTCTGTCTGAAAGCTGGATGCTTTCCCGTGAGGACACAGAACACATTAAGTAATTCTCTTACTGCCTGTGTGAGCAGGGACTGTGGTTTCCTCTTCACAGATCAACCCTTAGCACCTGGCACAAAGTAGGAGCTTTTAACTGAATGAGTCGTTTCTAAGAGTGGGTATAGACGCATGGTTTAGTGAACTGTCGGGGACTGGATGCAGAGATTTAGGATGGAAGGTGACCACAAAACACTTCCCCAGGTCTCTCAAGTCAGATGTTGGCTTTTTAAAACCCCTTTAATTTTAGATTTGTCCTTGTCCTATTTAAATGTAAACTGTAAACTTTTTATTGTTAAAAGCAGAAGTTCAAAAATATAAAGAAGGAATCGTATTAAGACTATAAATGAAGATGGACTTGTGAAACACTCATGTTAACTGTTTTTAGTACTTCTTTCTAAACCACTTTGTACTTCTTCTCCCATCTTAGCAATCATTTAATCCTCTCTTGATGACTCAGGTCATCATTTGTCACTGACAGTCACTGATAGGATGTAAATGAACCGATACATTGATCTTAATTGGTACTGAATCTGATAAATGTATGGGTTTTCTTGTCTTTATTAATTTGTGTATTTCCTATGAAAGTCAAATCAAAAATATATATGTGAAATTAATGAATGAAGAAAATTGAAAGAGCCACTCCTTAATTTTTTTTTCCCTGCCCCCCGGTAAAATCATGTTTGTTTTGTCAGCTCAGACCTATTTTTAAATGTTCATTTTCCCATCAGTGACCATTTAAACTTCCTGTCAGTTTCATCAACCCTCTCATTCAATTGCTTGATTAAGGGCCAAAGGCCTCTCTCGTATGAATATTTTCATTTCGCCTCTAAAGACCATAAAAAAGCCCAGACTTGGAATTTCAGAATCAGAGTTATCTTTCTTCTTTATGCTTTTTAGTTGTTTCTAGTTCACACTGATTACTAATTATTCAAGCATGTTGGATAAGACGGATTAACATAACTTATTTTAAATGCCCCTTTAAAAAAAAAAGGCCTTTTCAGAATAATGGAATTTTATATACTTCTCAGAAAATGCAGATACAGTAATATTAAACCTTTTTCTCCTCAACCTCTCCAAAATCCCTGTAACAATTCAAGTGTGTGTTACAACCCAGAACACGCATGTGGTGTTGACTAAGTGACAACTGACATTTCAAGTAAAGATATAAAATTTTCACAAAACTTTTATATATACAGTGTTTTTAAGTAAAGCCATTATACAGTGAAATTGAATTGAATATCCTGTAAAAATCACTGTAGCAGTGTAAAATCCTAAAGATAATATTATGTTTTCTAACATACCTAAGAGAGTGTTATTTTTTTATCATTGTTTTGGTAGTTTCATAAATTGTATTAGTATACTTTTGTGTCCCTTGATTTTATTTAGCTTCTTTGTGGCCTTAATTATGTGATTTTTTTCAGATATAGTTTAATACATCTATAAAATATGCAAAATAGGTATTTCTGTGAGGTTTTAAGAATTTATGTATCGGTTGTGTACATACAGTAAAACTTCATTTAGATCTTAATAACAAGAGTTATTGATTTAATATGGATTAAATAGAAGCCAACCTCATACTGTCACTTTACCAGTAAAGCTAAAGCTTGTGAAGATTTTTGGTGGAACTATTCAGACTCTTAGAAGCTGGCGATAAAGAGTCACCTATTTATTTGCAAATAGTGCTGCTTATCGCAGGCTGTTCACTGTTACAGGGCCCCATAGGCTCTTTTGGGGGAAGATAGCATGTCTGAGACTGCATTAGAATGTCTTAAAGCCTATGTTTTAAGGAGAATCTGTAATGAGGGCCCTTGATTAATACTGGATTTCAGTTAGTCTGAAATAATGTTTTCAGCTATTGTGAAATATTAATTTGCAACATCATGGTCTCTTATTGAAAGAGTCTGTAAGCGTTTTCTCTGAAAAACATTTTGACATTTAAACCTCTACTTTAAAAGCCTCCAAGTAATATTTCTCCCAAAGGAGAATTGCCTGTAATTTTCTGCAGAAGTTTTAAAGATGGAATCAGTGCTTTTCAAATCCTAAATTAAGAGTTACATGACAAAAAAAAAAAGGAATATGAAGTTACAGTATTCTTCAGATCCTAGTTGATTTGGGAGGTAATTGCCTGATGTTTGTGTGAATTTTAAAATAGAGTTTAATGGGAGTTTAAAACGTGTCATGATTCTGAGGTTCTGTCAAAATGAAACCGGCAGCGGCGGAAAAAGTTCATGTTGAATCAGGAACGTTCCCTGGGGACCCCAGCTTTGACTTTACGCTGTTTGTACTTCCTGGTTGATTGCTGGTGGCCAGAAGCTTGGACCTTGTCATGGCTGTTCTCCTTGAGGGGTCGCCACTGACTGCCCTCCAGTGAGCGCCCACCTGTCATTCTCCTTCAGAAAGCCTCGCTTCTCGCGGGGCCCTGGGTGGAGGACTTCGATTTCTCATCTTTCTTAACCCCTATAAAGTACATGCCACAGTATATCCGTGAAAGAGACTCAAAAACATTGTGGCAGACGCATTTAAAACCTGTGTTTATTTCAGTGAAGCCGACGTGGAAGTATACTCTCGCCAAGAGATGTTGGCAGATTCTCCTTTGAGTGGCCAGCTGAGTCCGTGAGAGCACGGACGGCGCGTTCGGTGTCGGGCCCCGGGTGGATGTTGGGCTGGGGCTGAAGGGCCAGGCATCAACACCGGTTCTCTTTCTGCCCGCCTCGCTCCATGTGCGCCCAGGGACGTGTCGTCCGAGTCCGACAGCAACATCCGGCAGATCAACCAGGAGGCCGCACACCGCCGCTTCCGCTCGCGCAGACACATCAGCGAGGACCTGGAGCCGGAGCCCGGCGAGGGCGGGGAGGGCCCCGAGGTGCGACCCCACCTGCTCACCCCCCACAGCGCCCCCTGGCGGTGGGCTCCGGGGCGGGGAGGGCCCCGAGGTGCGACCCCACCTGCTCACCCCCTACAGACCCCTGCCTGCTCACCCCCTACAGCGCCCCCTGGCGGTGGGCTCCGGGGCGGGGAGGGCCCCGAGGTGCGACCCCACCTGCTCACCCCCTACAGACCCCTGCCTGCTCACCCCTACAGCGCCCCCTGGCCGTGGGCTCCGGGGCGGGGAGGGCCCCGAGGTGCGACCCCACCTGCTCACCCCCCACAGACCCCTGCCTGCTCACCCCCACAGCGCCCCCTGGCGGTGGGCTCCGGGGCGGGGAGGGCCCCGAGGTGCGACCCCACCTGCTCACCCCCTACAGACCCCTGCCTGCTCACCCCCCACAGCGCCCCCTGGCGGTGGGCTCCGGGCTGATCCCGTGGCACAGTTTCCTATCTCAGTAAATACTGTCTAAAAGAAAAGATCACAGTCTTCTAGCTGGTTGAAGACCACTGAGGTATTTACTAACTTAGAAAGTGCTTCTAGAGGCCATCTTCGAGCACACATGATTTACATCACTGTGAAAGTGCATGACATTTTTTAGCACAGAAATCGTAATGTATTTTCACTTTATACTTTTATTTTTCCCCAGAGTCTAAACGTATCTTAGGCAACATGGTAATCATCTTTGAGCAGCTGAAGGCACCTGCCCTGTAACTTCTAGAGGCACCAAATATAATTTTGAGTAGTTTTGACATGGTGAAACAGGTTATTACCAAGAAAATACAAGTTGGGGTGAACATAAATGTTCATAAGTTCACTCTTAAATGCTTATGGTAAATCAATGGGGAAAATATAAATTGAACAACCAATTAGTAATTGCAGTGGCTTCGGTGCCGCCTTGACAACTCTGTTTACTTACTGGAAATCCATTCTTATGTTAGGAAGATGATTCACAAAATGTTCCAGTGATCAAAATTGGAAAAGCAAAATAAATGAATGATGCTGTAATAAATTCACTAAAAGTTACTTGATAACAAGTGCTTACTAACAGTTTATAGCATCTCTGCTCTTTTCATTGTGAATCCTCAGTGGTTAGAGTAAAAGAAAATTCATGAAAATCATAAATTCCTAAGGATATTTTTTAACCCGTGCAGGTAGTATCAAGTGCTAGAAGCAAGCCACTGCTCAGAGAGGTGCTGTTTTAAAGGGGTTAGGAGCACAGCCCCTGGAGCCAGGCTTCCTTGGCTCACTGTCCCCCGGCACCAGTTACTCCCGCAGCCTCAGCTTCCTCATCTGTTAGTCAGGCTGGGAGCCTTATCTTCCTTACGGATGCTGGGAAGACCGAGTGCCTCCTTAGCGCTCAGTAAATGTGAACGACAGTTAGGATGGTTATTACCGGGGCGGGGATGAGAGGGTCCCTTGTTCCAGCACTCACCGCAGCGTCTCTTCCCCCGGCAGCCTTGGGAGACTATTTCAGAGGAAGTGAACATGAGTGGAGACTCACTCAGCCTGGCGCTGCCCCCGCCGCCAGCCTCGCCTGTGTCCCGGACCAGCCCCCAGGAGCTGTCCGAGGAGCTGAGCAGAAGGCTGCAGGTCACTCCCGACTCCAACGGCGAGCAGTTTGGGTCTTTGATTGTAAGTCATGGTCTTGTTTGAATGAGAAGTTGAGTGAATATTTTGTCATTTTTTTTTGTTGTTGTCACTTTTCAGAGAATCTTGTTTGCAAATAATGACCAGGGTCTCCTAGCCCCCAAATAATTCTGCCATTTCCCAAGTTCCTTCTTCCCTGGGAGAAGCAAGACTATACCAAACATAGCCCAAGCAGGTGGAGCACTTTCTTGATTCATAGGTGACTCATCTATGACTTCTGTATCATTAAGCATTAACCTCATAGAAGTTCTTTTCCCAGCAAAAGATTGGTGAAACAGTACCTTCATCACAAAGTGGTATTTCGCAGTGGGACCTGAGAGCCACTGGGCCTCCACGTTGATCTCATACATCATACTCTGCATGCTTTATCATTCTTGTTTCACAGGCAAGGCATAATGGTTAAGTGACCCGTCCAAGACAGGTTAGGATGGGAGACAGAAGACATCCCCTAAGTCCCAGAGAAAGGCTGTGAAATTGTGACACTGCCGCTCGTGTAGCATTTGAGCTTGAGTTCTCAGCCGTCGAGCAGATTGGCTCTAGATGCTTCAGGTGGGGCTAAGCCCCAGTGAGAGTCAGCAGAATCAGCCACGAAGACCTGTGTTTGACAACACAAAACTGCAGGAAAAGCCCATAGAAAATTCTTGCTTGTACATAAAATTGCAGTCTCAGTATTTCTTGAGAAACTGAACCAGCAGATGCACTGTAGTAAATGGTGGGAGTCCCTCAGCTGAGAATGGCATCCTGGAAAAATGATCATCTTTACAGCCGCGTCACATGTAAGTGAACAGGAGGGCTGCATAAAATGTGAAAGTGGGTACTCACAAGACTGTCACGCCTTCAGCTCTGTGTTTTTCTCTTAAAAGTACCATTGGCCCCATCAGGAGTTACAGTGACTACTCAGTTAATGTGCTTTTGTGTTAAAACTCTGAGTATCTTTCAGAAAGAGAAATAACACTGAGATGTAAATGTGGTACTAAAGGGACGGGGAAACAGAGTTTGCATACATGGGGTATTTGAACTGATAAAACTTGCTGTGGAAACAGCATAAGCATAGAAGTCATGTATTTAAAACCTTATAAAAGGGAGTAAGTGCTGCCAGAACCATAGCAATGGTATCCCTTTAATCTACCAAGTGAAAACCATCATTTCAGTTACTTGTAATAGGGAACTTCTTCATTCTAGGTTCATAAAATATCTTTAAGATGCAAGAATAAGTGACAGAATTATTTTAAGTTTGTGTTGAGTCCAGTTCAACTATTAAGTATTTAGGAAAGAGGGGGTTCTTCTCCAGTTCTGCTTGTGAGAGTCACTCTGTATTCAAGGACAATAGCGTGATCTTCTCCTAAAGAGCGAACCCTGCATGCTAACCATGTGGAAAGACTTGGAAAGCCTCCCGTTTACCACCACAGCGTCTGTCTTGGACCTTACCCCGTTTTCCTCACCGGAAAACATTAACAGTGAGGACATGCTGCAGACGTGTCCCACGTGCACACCTGTGGCTCATTTGACCCCCCGCCTTGTGTGTGTGGCCTGCTGCTGATCTGTTGGTCTTTTTTTTTTTTAAGCCATATAGACTAATACAAACAAATGAGAGGAACATATTATACATTATTCTCTAGTTTTTTTTTAGATTAACCTCACCTGTTTTCCTTCATTCCTGTTCTGAACAACTCCATCTCCATTCAGAAGTTGAAAGTATTAATACCTAGCCCTTCAGAAGTAGCCTAAGATTATATGTGCGTTCTCCTAGACATAGAATCCAGCTGACTCTTTGTCAGTGAACATTTAATAACTGTTAGGTCAGTATCGTTCCCTTTATTCCTGTCCCACTGGAATTTACCCAGAGGTTGGTTCTCGAAGCACAATGCATGACTTGTAGCTGCTTTTTTCTGTCATTGAAGCAGCATTACCTGTGGCTTCCCCTTTCATGTTTTGGCCTCTTATTTTTGCTGTTATTGCTCAGGACACTTGAGAATGACAATGAAAGATATTTGATGCCTTAAAGGATTATGTTCATTACTCCAAAAAGATGGTGTTTCATTGAATTACCTTCTGATATCAAAGAGCAGCCAGTAGGCTTGAGTGATCAGTTTTTTTAAACCAGGGAAGCTTGTTTCTCAGAGTGTGTTCTTGATGCTCTGTGTGCTTTCCTCCCCTGCAGCAGCGAGAGCCGTCCTCCAGGTTGAGGTCCTGCAGTGTCACCGACGCGGTCGCAGAGCAGGCTCATCTCCCACCGGTAACCCACGCTCATTTCCAGCCACTAGTTGGCTCTCTCGGCTTTTATTTAAAATCATCTGGGAGACCAAGGAAGAGTTTTTCCTGTGCAAAATCAACTTACCATTCACATGAGACATTAAAATGTCCTAGCAGATTGCCCAAGGAGAGTGGATTTCCAATACAGAGAGTTGTCACTGCCACCAGAGTCTCTGAAATGCTAAAAACTCCATTGCTTTGCTCTTCCATCCAAGTGAATGCCAATTCTGATATGCCTGCTTGATCTAAACATTAGCAATTCCTTTTTAAAGAACTTAATTTGGTCCTCAAAGCTGTATTTAAGTGACCTGGTATCTCCGGAACATAGGAAAAACTCTTCTGGGTGGGCAGCAAGGAGCCCTTTCCATTATTAACGGGCTTAACTCTTAACCCACTGAGTTTCTGTACCTTCTCTTTAAAGATAGCTCCCTTGACTCAAGACTTGGCTATAATTTGTCTCCACTTTCCCACTGGTTTTACTGGCAGCAAATATGGACGTGTAAATGGTGTTAATAATTATATAGGACTTAAAATGAATGTTCTGATTGGGAGGCAGACCAGAACTGCCTGCAGAAGTGTTAGTATACACGTTAAAAATAAATTTTCTGTAAATTTGTTTCTTGTTTTGGAAGAGAAAATATTATGTGGTTTTAGCATGCTCAACTTAATATTTGACCTTGACCAATTTTTATTATTATGACAAGTCCTTGATCATCGTTAGCACTAATACTTATTGCATCTGAAATTGAAGGGAAAGAAAGATTGCACTTAACAGTTTTTGCAATCATGGCATCTTCCCTGTTGTATACATTTCTGCTCAACTTCACAGGATGTGTTTTGCCTAGATTTTAAGTCTTTTATGTTTACAGAATGAATGAATAAATCCATTAGTCAACTGAGTAACAGATTAGATTCAGTTGTGGCCTTCATGGAAAGGGCTGGTAGGTCAGAAGCTTGACAAGAGTGTCCTTTCTGGGGTGCAGTGCAGGCCTCCCCCCAAAACAGAACAATCAGCTGTGGTGGGTCAGTGGTATCCTCCTCAGATGATTCTGTGTTTGTCCTTCATGAATTAATGGCGCTTTCTCTTCTTTTCAAAAATCAGTGTCAGTTGTATTGGCCAAAAGAGCCATTGATTCTTCCCTCTTTCTTTGTGCTCTGTGAAACTGTGAACTCACTGATCACCAGTGGCCTCTTGAATTTTGAGTTTGGCAGATTTAAGAATCTGCTAACTGTTTAACAGTGGGGGCACGATTGTGGTGCTTTCTTTCTTTTTCCATAAGACATCTCACACTGCCCAGGCTGTCAGTTCACTGTTCACCCAGCTCAGGGCTGCAGCCTGAGCCTTCTCTCGGTAGGCGGGTGATCGTGTTCCTCTTTCCCTCTGGTCATCAGTGGTCGCTCCATGCTGTCTGGCCTGGGTGGATTGCAGAGGTTCTGATTCATGTCACCTGCCTTGCTGGCTGCACCAGCTCTGATCCCTGATTCAGTAAGCAGTGGGTGGCCTCCCAGAATGCATTTCACTGATGTAAATTATCATTTAACAGCCCAGTGCCCCAGCTGGGAGAGCACGTTCATCAACTGTCACGGGTGGTGAGGCGCCAACGGTAATGACACCCTTGTTCAGACGCTCTTGGCAAAACTGTGGGTCGGTTTTAATATTTGGGTAATGGTGAATATACAGTTTTTTCTCTTTGTTTTGATAAGAGCAGCTTCTGATGTGCCACGGAGCTGCACATTTCTTATTTTAATAAAACCTCTCACTTTCATATTCCTTGAAGGTACTGGGTAAAACGAAACGATTTTTAGTCCCATGTAGTTCTAAGAGCTGTCAAGCTTTAAGTTTTAATCTGAACCTTTTAGAGTCTATTTCTGCCTTTTAGTGTTTGTACTCCTGATAAGTCTCCCCCATGTGTTTAGAAGACATAGGTAAAATATTTTGGTTGGAGGAGAATCAAGGAAGCCCCAGAAATTGCACACTTGTGCATGTGAATTTTCAGTGGTGTATTCCCAGTATCACATTTCAAAGGCTGACTTAGATGTTCTGTATCATGAGCAGGAACCAGTGACCTTTCTCTGTTGCCAGGGCCCCCAACTCACAGGTTCAAAGGTATGAACAATGTATATTCAAGAGGAGAATATATGAATATAATTAAGGAGGAGAGAGAAAGTATAATTAAGAAATTGAAAGGATCTAGAAAAAAACGGTGTTTTAAAACCAAGTGTACTCTTTGTTTTAAATAATTCCTACTATTCATGTTTGTGGGTAATGCATGACTGTGTGCTTCGCCAGTTTTCTCCTTGGTCCCTAAACACAGGCTAGCTTACAGTTTAAGGTTGGAGCTGGTGTGGCTGTTGGAAGAATTTTCCTTGTTGTTTCACCTTTGTATGTTTGTTACAGCTGCTTATTACTCCAGAACACCTTTAAATACATACATGGTTGCTGATTTTCTGCAGGGTATTTATTTAAAGGAGCAATCTAGTTACATTGTTAAATTGACAGCTCAGCATGGTACCCTGGAAAATTGAACTGGCAGTCAGCAAAAATCAGGCCAGTTTAAGGTATCGAACCGCAGTGATTGATGTGAAGGGCGCCTGTTGGGTGGGCCAGGCTCACCCTCCAGGAGAATTGAAGAAATTCCAGATGACCGAGTGAGCTTCCTGTTGGGCGCGAGTCTTTTCCATGGGGGTAGAGCTTCGAGGTGGATGAGATCACTTCATGAAGTGGTTTTAACAGGAAGCGGGGCCGGTGAGCATCTACCCCGTCATGCATTTCACTGGCCTCGGCACCTGCTGTGAGTGTCGTGATCGCCAGTGGTGTCCAGTGGCAGGATGGACTGAACCATGGGCATCCCGGGCTCCGTGGTCAGGCACCTGCAGGGCAGGGTGACCCCTGCAGTGGGCTCCGCGCGGCCCTGCCACCGCGCGGCGCGTCTCGCCTGTGCCCTCCCCCTCCCCCAGCAGGGAGTTCAAAATAGCAGTTTGGTTTTTGTGTCTTACCGTCAAAGACTGGGTAGTGGTATTTCCTAAGTGCTTTGTCTGCTGTCAGACTTTCTGCGTCCCTGGTGATCTTTCGGCTTGAGCACTCCAGCCTCCGTTATGGCTACCTGAGAAGGAGTCACGCCTGGTTCTTCTTTTCCCACCCTCGCCAGCCCTCGTCACCAGTAGCCTTGGCTTTCCCGATTCCGTCTCCTCCGTGGGTTTTCCCCTTTCTTACCTCCTCCCTGCCACCCCAGCACCCAGGTGTGTCGTGTCAGGCTGGAGCGACCTTGGGGCACCCCACCCTCCTTCCTCCGTGCTCTCACAGATGTCCCTGTGGGTACATGCACACATGCGTGCACACACACAGGGCGAAAGCGGAGCTCATATGCATGTTACTTAATCGACTTGATACTCACTTGCGGTCACTTCTCTGGGACATACTGGTTATTACATAATCCTCGTTACATTGTGACGCTGGGATGTGAACGCACCAGAGTCCCGTGTTTCCCACAAAGATGAGCCCTCAGCCGCTGCCCCTCGGCCGCTGCTTGTCCCGCGGCCCTACCCGCCCCGGCCTTGCTGTCTCCATGCAGGGATTTCTCTTCTCGATTACAGTCAGCACGCCCCGATTCCCGCCTGCGGACCCACGGCTCTGACACGTAACAAGTGAATACACAGTGGTGTCCCTGTCTAGCTGGCTGGGCCAGGGTCTACTCTGTGAAAATGATAGGGATAGCACAGTTTGGGGGGGTTGCTGTATACCCCATAATATTCCGCTGAGGTTAGAGTGTGCCAGGGCTTGATCGAATCTTGGGGATTCTGTGACAGCGCCACACTGTTTATCATCTTTAAAAGCGTTGTGAAACTTTCACAGCTTCACCATTATTGAGCGCTTCGTTTTAATGAACTCAATGGAGCCATCAAGAAGCTGCAGTCAGATGCCTCCTTGACATCATGAAAGACAACAGTAGACGCAGACGGAGAGCTGTGAAATTCTGGATTCAGCTGACCAGCTGTTTCAGTTGTCTCCCCATTAATTAACTTGTTTCTTGAGGTGGCACATTATGCACATGTGCAGGAGCAGTACAGACGCCTGCACACGTGCACACATATGTGCACATACATGTACGCACACGCGCGTACGCATATACACACGCGTACACACACACGGCAGGAGAAGTCTGGTGTTGGCTCCGGGCTGGGCCACTGCCCTGGTCTCTTCACGGAAGCTGAGCCCCGCTCCTCCCCAGCTGTGGGAGGCGTAGTTTTGAGTCACAGATGGAGTCGTCCACACAGGTGGTTCTTCATGGCCATTTGGAAAGAAACCTATAAAGAGCCATTTTAATGGCAGCATCGTGCATCAGCGGAACTAGATTATAGGTTGCCAAGTCACTTCTCCATAGGAGGTAGAATGCACATTTGATTCAGATGCCATGTTCTCTGCAACACTCCCAGTTCTCCATAAACTGATTGGTCCTATTAACTGTGGCCCTATGAAAGTAACCTAGTTGCTGGGCTACTCTGCTGGAAGCCTCCCAGCTTTAGAGTTCAGTCCTGAGATTAGCCATGACACATCCCAGTTACTTGTGTTTATTAGCCTCCCCATAAACCTCCTTTCCAGGGATACTATAACTGTAAAACTATCCTTAAGGTTTCCAGAATGGAGTTTTCCCAAGGCTTATCTGATTGCCTCTCCCCAAAAAAATAACTCGAGGAGGAGAAAAGCAGCAAATTCCATTTGGTATTCCATTCAGCCAAAACATATTTGGCCCTCATGTAAACAACAGTAGGTCAAGGCTTGATAGCATGTATTTGGCCAGAAATACTAATTGACCACTGACTTAGGTTACAACTTGGGTTCCCCCTTAGGTCAGCAAAGTCCGTTGCCATAATGCCCACATCAAAAGTAGCCTGGAAATAGCTCTTTTGTGTTGGTGCCACAGCAAGAGGAGGAGGGCAGAAAGAGCTTTCAGCCACAGACGGGTTCATCTGTCTTTAATGCAGAAGGATCCAGCCTGCATGCTGGTGTTTCTTCCGCTCTTGTTGTATCCCTGCACCTCCATTCAGGATGCTACGTTGTCAGAGTCTCGAAATTACCATTACGGGACCTTGGGGACTTTATCTGGAATAACGTCAAGAAGTATTTGCTGAGGCTTTAGCACGCAGTTGTCGTGTGGATACACTTGCCCTGCTGGGTTAATGTGTTTTAGAAATAAGTGTTAAGGCAGCCGCTTCATGGTCTCAGTTTTTGGGGTGTTTTTTTGGAATGTGCTGTTGAACTCATGAGGTAGGATATTAAGCCTCATTGCCTGCTGTCCCTAGATTCCATGGCAGCCTCCCTGATCATGCTTTTCAGTTCGAGGTTTCGCAGTGGACTGGGGGACCCTCTTTGCCAGGGGGCATGTTGGTAGTGAACATGAAAGATGGGATGGACACGGGGAGAAGCTGGGCTGAGAGGTTAACATCATCAACCTCGTCAAAAAATACACCCTATGTATGCCCATGGCTGATTCATGTTGATATTTGGCAGAGACCAACAGAATTCTGAAAAGCAATTATCCTTCAATTAAAAAAAATAAATTTTAAACAAAAAAAGAAAAGAAAATATGCCTGGTGAAGCATCTGGAGGTTCAGAAGATCCTAATTAGGGAAGATGGGCCCTAAAGGGAGTGGCTCCCTTCTGTAACCACACGTAAGAGATTACTCCTGAGTCTAGGCCTCTTGTTTCTTTTACACTCTCCCAAGAGCCATGACTGCCGAGGCTTCTTGTTACTGAGCAGCACCCCTGCCCCAGTTGCTGATCTTGTATGCAGCATCCGTACCTGCAGGACTTCCTGGGCAGCACCAACCTCAAACATCCTTCTCTTGGCTTTCATGAGTCATTGAGATATCCTGCTTTCCCAATATTTTTCCACCCCGCCTGCATTTCTCAGACTGCTTCTTAGAAGCCAAAAGATCACAGGACTCCTTTAGCGATCTCCTCTGGCGTATCCAAATCTAGTCCCTCTGTGCCAGACATTCTCTCTCAGCCCGGAAGCTGCCTGTGTTCCATTCACCTTCTAAAGAGACAAATCCCACATGGGAGGATGGGGGAAGTACAGCCTCAGTGGTCAGGTTCCTTGGGAGTTCTGGCCTGCCTCCTCCTGGGCCGGGGCAGCTGAAGCGTTCTGGTCGGTCACTGGTGTAAAAGGGGGTCTCATAGAAAACAGACTGCGTCTCACCCACTCCCCGACGCTGAAGGTTACATGGTATAAGGGCCCCAAGCTGTTGAAGAATTTAGGGATAAGCCAGGAGAACATTCCAGTGGCAGCTAGATTGAGGAAGAGATACTCAGAGCATCCCTCTCAGAGATGATAACGTTTGACAGTTGGAAACATCTTTTAAGCTCTACGTGGTTTGAAGTAAAATTTGGTAACCAAACCAAACTGGCATCGTCTTCTCCTTCCTTGTGATCACATTGGCAGCAGCCCTCTACGTTGGAGGCTACGTGGCCTGGAACAGAGTCCTATGAGGTTTTGGCCCTGTAGCTTGGGTGGGGGTTCATTTCACCCTCGGTTTAAAGCTGTCGGAAACCTGTTGCTGTTTTCCGAACATTCAGTGTTTCCGGTACCACTAGAATTAACTCACTTTTGTCTAGCAGAGCTAATCCTCTGGGTATGTATGACTTTGTTAAGCTGATCGAAAAACAAATGCAGGATATTCAGTAACGATGATTTCTTACACAAACAGCCATCAGTGGCCTATGTACACACCACGCCGGGCCTGCCTTCAGGCTGGGAAGAGAGGAAAGATGCTAAGGGACGCACATACTATGTCAATCATAACAATCGAACCACAACTTGGACTCGGCCTATCGTGCAGGTATGCGGTCTGCCCTGCAGCTTCTGTCACAGGCACTCAGAAGCCAGAGTGTCCAGGACCCCCACGCTCCTGAGTTTTAGGCATCATTCTGAGGAACCCACATCAAAAGAAAATCTTTTCTTGCAAATGCATTACTTTAAACATAACATTTGCCTAAGAAAGAATTCAGTCCCTGACTCAGTCTCTCTCCCTAGAGGGTCCATTTTATTTAAAAAAAAAAAAATGACCCAAAAGAGATTTTCAGAGGAAGAGCCCGTTGATCCCAACAGGTAGTGTCCCTCCCAGCTCCCCCTTTTCTCTGAGGCTGGTTCTTCTGCCGGGCTCGTGATTCATTCTTTACTTCCCTGGAGTGTGTTTCCCCGTCCCTCGCCCACCCCCGCCCCCACCCCCATTATTATGTGTGGTCGTCTCCTCCACACTGCCCACAGGCCAGACCTCTTGTGACCACTGGCCTTGCGGTCACTGGGCCCACACCTGCGCAGGGAGCGCCTCGCACGCCGCTAACTTGTGTTTGCCTCCAACGTAGCTCGCAGAAGACGGCGCATCGGGATCCACCACAAACAGTAACAACCACCTAATCGAGCCTCAGATCCGCCGGCCTCGTAGCCTCAGCTCGCCAACAGTAACTTTATCCGCCCCGCTGGAGGTGAGACGGCTACTCGGCTCCCCATCCCTCCTCACCCCCTCTTCTGTCTCCGCCCTGGGCGGGCGCGGGGCGGCCGCCTCCCTCTCCGGCCGTCGCTGTGCTCGTGGTGAGGTCTCACTCCGTGCTTCCCACCCCTGGACTCTCGCGCAGATTCTCACTGTCATGGGGCCGCGGCCACAGCGACCCTCTGCTGGATGGGGCTCCTCTCTTCCGAACTCTTTCCATCCTTGTGTTCCGCTCCTTACCGCCTGTCACCTCATGAGACGCACATAACAGCTCTTTCCAATCCCAGTGCTTCCGTTGAGTTTTTACACACAGCTGTCGCTTCGATCATTCTTTCTCCCTCCCTACTGTAGGGTCTTCCATCGTGTGGGCCTCGTGTTTCTGACGCGTGTCTGCATCTCTGAGTCACCGCTGGGCATCCGCTTTGCGCTCTCCTGTTTGTGTGGTCTTAGCAACATCCCTTAATATCATAATAGCCGGAGACTAAACCTTTGATGCTGTAAACGTGATGGGCATCTTAAAGTTGGCTGTGGGCTGCTCTGTGCCCGGGTTTAGGAGGTTGATGAGTGGCATGGGGAGATACCTCCTCCAGGCTGTGATGTGGATGTCCTGGTTAACAACTGTGCGATCCCCAGTGGTGGTCTCCATTGATAGAGCTTTTTTTCTGCTCCAGAAATTGCCAGTCCGTCTCCATTAGACTGTGAGCTCATTAAGAGCAGGGGCACGTTTTTCTCCACCTTCTGTAAAATCCCCATCCATAATGGTTACTACCGAAAAGTATCTGGGGGTATGTACCGAGCAGCTATCAAAGGAGCGTGGTTATACTTACTTAATATTGTTGTGTATTGAACCAACAGGAAAACATCATAGTTAGATTGTTTTTTAAAGTAAGCAGATGACAGAAGCAGGGTTTTTTTAGGCGTTTCCCCCTGGTCCCCATTCAGAGAGGAGCATTCCCTGACCCCCGGGGACGTGATGGCCCTCTGAACCAGCGCGTGATGAGAGTTCTAACACTCGTTATTATTCCTTAGGGCGCCAAGGACTCACCCGTACGTCGGGCTGTGAAAGATACCCTTTCCAATCCACAGTCCCCACAGCCATCACCTTACAACTCCCCCAAACCACAACACAAAGTCACACAGAGCTTCCTGCCGCCCGGCTGGGAGATGAGGATAGCGCCCAACGGCCGGCCCTTCTTCATTGACCACAACACAAAGACCACGACGTGGGTAAGGCCGCTGCTTTATTTGGCTCCACTTCCATCCCAGGGTCTGGCGCCCATCCCTTTATCTCCTGACTCAGCATCCATGGTGCTTGCTGAGAAGTTTCCTGGCGCCACCGCGTGTCCTCTGAGGGTCTCCTGAGCCTTCACCTCCACTCCACACGTGGGGGATGGGGGGTGGGTGATTTACAGGCATGGACTCACGGCCGTCCCGGGTACTGATGCCTTTTCCTCAGAGCGCTCATGGGGAGCCCCAGTGTTGGCAGCTCACTGTGTTTGGGAAAGGTAGTGCTAGCTCCATGTTGCTGGGACTTTGATGTTGTTGCTTCCTGTCTTAGGATGCTGTACCTTTATTGGGAGTTACAATCTTTTTACAAAGAATTTTTCTGTGTCACTTTCTTTTTGCATTTGTGTTGCCAGTACCCATCTTTGTTTTTATTTGATGTGTCCTTTTAGTGTTTATAGCTTGCATCAGATAAGTATTTTACACTCCAGTGCTATGTTACATTCTTTTAATCATAGGTTAGGAGACTTTGTAAATTTGATAGCTCTTTCTTGTGAGCATCTTGTCGCAGTTTTTTTTCCTTAATCACAGTACTCATCCTTGTTCCCCTGAATCATGCACGAGGGAGAATATGTGTGTTGTATTAACTTAGGGAAAAATGAGATTGTTGAAAAGGACGTATGCGTGTCTTTACATTCCTCTCTTCACTCTTCCTTTCTTTCGGGCAGTCAGTGGTGGCTTATTAAAGGTAGCATAGAGTTCTTTTTAAAGTCAGTGGTGTTCTTCTACTGTTTCACCTCTAGGCCAGTAGTTAACCTGAAGTGGGTCCTCAGGTTTCTGACTCTTCCTGATGCTCCCAAAGGTTTGTTTTCCTTCCTGCCCCTTATATCCCCAGCTGACTATCCAGGTATGGAGTTGGGCTCAGTCTTTCTATGTGCTGCACTGCTGTTTAGAACCGATGATTACATGAAATCTGGTTGAGTTTTGGTGATTGTCACTGGCCCTGGCTCTTTGGTCTTGGACCAAGAGTCAACACATGCTTTAAATTCCCACTTCCAGTGAAGACACCAAATATACCCAGTTGCTAGAACAGCAGTATCATGTGAAGGAAGAGACCTGGACCCAAGTGACCTGGACTGTCATTTACTCTCTGCCCTTGGCATGATGGCAATTCAGTCCCTTGAGAATTGGATTAGGTTCTCTCAGGTCTCACGGATCATGGTACGGTGTGTCTTCACGAGGACATTCTTAGCACTTGGGGCAGGACTGTGCTTGTTACTGCAGGACATTTAACATCCTTGGCCCCTGCCGCTGAATCCTAATAGCCACTGCCCCTCCCCCACCCATCATACTGAGAACCCCAGAAGCCCCCAGGTGTTTCCCAACACCCCTCAGTGAGAACCACTCCAATTTTGAAGTAAAGGAATAACCTGCAAAGAGAATTTAAAATTCAGATCTGGTAGCATTCATTTGGTAAACTCACCACTACTTCTCAGACTTGGTGATAAGTAGCGGTTTCATCTGAAGATAAGATCACAGGTTTGTGGCAACAGGAGAGTACTAGGTAGGAAGCTCCTTGGGAAATAGTGATAGAGGTTGGCTTTAAAGTCTTTTTTTTCCCCCTCAGGGACGTAGAACCTGTAGCAGTCCTGCTACTGAACCCATTTCTACTTGGTACAGCATTGCTGGTATTTCAGTTCCTCAGCCAGAAATGGGAGCTCCAAAGATAGGAGTAAATACTGTAAAAGTAGATGGATTAGTATATGGAGCCACTGTGGCTTGCCAACACAAGCTATGATTTTAGTAATTTGAACTAGCTTAGTAATCAAATCCCCTAACCTTTCCACAGCCTTTCACGCCACAACTGCAGTGCAATTGCAGCTGGGCAGATTTTCTTTTAAATAGCACCCGCTTTATTTATTGCCTGCATTGTTGCTGAATGAAACCCAGTTTGAATTTCCCATTGCCCCTTTCTACCAGATACTCGTGACTCACTGATTTTTCAAATTTCAATTTGTTAAAACAACGTTTCTTTGTGGCTGCTGTCATGAAGATCCTGAAGGTAGCAACAAAGAATTCCACCAGCCGTCACCACCCCTCCCCACTCAGCACGGATGTCCTAACGCAGATGCGTTATCCCCACTAAACAAAGGCCCATCCGCAGCGCTGATGGTGGAGCACGCGCTCTGAACGCGTGTTTAGTCTGACAAAAGGTGGAGGGATGGGGAGAAACAGGAAGATAATATTCGGCTTAAAACCTGTGTTGGGTTGCTTTGGGGGTTGCTTTTTTTTTTTAAAGAGAGAATAGCTATTCTTAGATTTGAGCATTATCATAAAAGAGAGAAAAACAGCTCAGACAGGTCGAGAGGGATGAGAATGGACGTCTCCCTCTGCACCCTTTGTGGTCTCGAGGCTTGCACTGACCAGAAGCTTCTCCTTTGAACACACTGACAGAGGGGCCTTCCCTTTGCTTCCCTGGGGTGGTACTAGTGGTAAAGAACCCGCCTGCTAGTGCAGGAGATGCAGGTTCAATCGCTGGGTCGGGAAGATCCCCTGGAGGAGGAAAGGGCAGCTGACCCCAGTGTTCTTGCCTGGAGAATCCCATGGACCAAGGAGCCTGGTGGGCTACAGTCCATAGGGTCGCAGAGTCGGACACAGGCACACACACACACCCTTTGAGTCTCGTTGTAAAACACGGCCTCTTGCACTCACGAATCATGGAGGCAGTGCGCCAGCCTGCTGTAGGGAATCAAGTCAGACACGTCAAATGCGCATCTCTTGGTCCCCACAGGGGTGGGGCAGCTGTGGATCTCGGGAAGACTTCCCCCAGGGAGGTGAGAAGAGATTACAGGAGGCTTCAGTGTCTCCGTTCCTTCTGCTGAAGAAGCAGCTCAAAGCATGTGTATAAGAACATATTTATGTCTTTCACAGGACAAAGCATTGGCTTATTTCTGTAATAAGAAAGATTATACCTTAATTAAGTTTTAAGCTTGTTTTCTTTTCTACCCAGGTCCAGACTAATAAAGTCACTCTAGTCCAGGCCTGGTGATTGCTCCCTTCCAGGCTGGAAAAAGCACCACTGTGTTTTTAACCAGCCAGCGTGCCCTTATTTTATCTATTTTTAAATAAGTCCACTAAGAAATTGCAGGTTAGGGGAGACCTGTGGGGTCTTAGTTCCCCAACCAGGGATTGAACCTATGCCCCCTGCCTTGGAAGACGAAGCCTTAACCACTGGACTGCTAGGGAAGTCCGTGAAACCTCTTTTTTGTTTTTTTATGTTGATCTTTGCCTTCTGTTTAAAAGCCCTTTCAACTCTATTTGAGGGAAACAGTTGTGAAATACTGATGTAATTGTGAAGGAGGGCTCTTCCTGTGCTGAGGCAAGGGAGAATGGCCCAGCACACGTCATGTGGTTCATTCTTTCACATTCGCCTCGTCCGAGACCTCGCTAGGATTCCGGCTGACTCTCATCCCTCAGGTTGTCCCAGGTCTCATGGGCCCTGGCTGTTCTCCTAACCTGCCAGCTGCGCCCTCTGTCGGTCAGGGGAGTCCGTAGGAGGGTGGTTCCTGGGGCCCTGTAGGCTGAGTCCACAGAGCCTGATGGATGGCAGCTACTGGCAGTATTTTGATTTTTGTTGGTATAATAAAATCATGTGACCCAACCTCCCCCACCCCCCACCCAGGTGCCTCCAGCCCTCACATTCTATGAGTTCCAGGTTTCCGTGCCAGGCCATTTTAGCAGACCTGCCTGTGAGACGGAATTTATTTTATTCTTCATGCTTTTTCCCCCGTCCCCGGTTGGTCACTTTTGTTTAATTGCAGTTGTTTTTTGTTTGTTTATTTTATCTTCTTTCCATCAGCAGCTCTTTGCCAGAAGCGCGGGTTGTCTTTCGCAGTGGCCTGTGTGTGTAATTCCAAGCATGGAGCATCCGGGAGCCCCAGCCTTGTGGTCCCAGCCTCAGACTTTCTCTGAGTTCAGCATCATCCAGGGCTGTGGGGGGCCCTGGGTTTCCCACGGTGGGGACATTACTTGGGCCAGCTCACAGTTAGCCTTGGATGTGTTTGGTGGAGGTCACTATTCTAAGGTTTTTCTCTTTCCATGACAAAGCAGTTACAGATGTTTACCAGATGATCAGCTTTTTGGACCTTCTAAATCAACTTACGCTGTAGGTGTTCCAGTATGCTATAGAATACTGGAATTTTTTTAGGCCTCTGATTATGCCTTCAGAAGGTTCAAGATCAATTTCCATCAAAAACTGCTAATATGATTTATTGCTTCTATAACACTTTGCTTATAGCTGACAGAAAGCACAGGTTGATTTGTATGTGTGTGATTTTTCTTGTCGTTCTTGCCAGCCCCCTAAATCTGTCACTTTGTTATTACCTGGTGATACTAACGGTTTAGACTGTTCATTTGGGAGAAACATTTTTAAAGCTTTGTCGAGGTATCGTGCACATCCCATACAATTCACCCATTTGAAATATAGCTCGGAATGATTAGAGCATCACACACGTGTGCGGCCATCACCATCATTGGTTGTAGGACATTTCCATCCCGCCAAAGGAAACCCCATACCCATTAGCAGTCACGCGCCATAATCCAGGAGAGATGTTTAATACAGTCTTGGTATATAGTCATATGTAACTTCATATCTCCAACCAAAAGTGAGTTTTATTATTTTCCCAGTTTTATACCAACTATTTCATTTTCTTGCTGACTTGGGAAAGTGCTGAGACAGAAAACCTTTTAGTAATTTTAAGAGCAACAAAGGCTTTAACATTATTGAAATACAGGGTTTTGGGGTTTTTTTTTTTTTTAAGATTTTAGGATGACTTTTTGTTTTTCTATTAGGCTTATTTGGTTAATAATGTTATCGTTTTGTTTTCTAGTCATTTGCGTTTAAAAGATTATCATTTTGTTTGTTTTCTAATCTTTTGAGTTTAAAATAGGGATTCCCTCGGTTGCCCTGCATTTTTAATTGGGTCTGTGTAAGTGAAGGGGCAACTGCTAGCCTCTAAACCAGAACCTCTGTGCAAGTTCTTGTCCTCTGTGAGACTCAGTTTCCTTGTCTAAGGGAGCAGCCCAACCTCCCAGCAAGGTAGCTGCAGGATTATACATCTGACTGCTCTTTGTAAGTTATAAAGCATGACCCAAGATGTCAGGGCATGTATTTCTCTTTCATTGGTTCTGTGTGGTATTGATAAAGCACATCCCTTAAGAAAAGTATTTTGTGAACTTTTAAGGTCTAATTTGTAGAACTTGGTCAAGAATCCCAGTGAAGTTCTCTCCCAGGGCTGTGACTTGATGAGATGTTGCCAGCTAAGCCTGGGGCAGTTCATGACTGGGCAGTCAGACCAGACTCAGATTTCCAGCTTTAGCTGAAGCGAGGGTGGGAGGCAGCAACAGCGACTCAAGTGCTGATGGAGAGGCTGTTGCTAGCAGGCTAGCTGCCCTCACCCCGGAGCTCAGGGTCCATGGGGAGCTGTACAAACCCGTGTCCCCACCCCCTCCCTGTGGACTAGAGCCTCATCTTCACCAGCATCCTCCACCCTGGTTTCCATGGTGACATCACTGCTGGAACCCTCTTCCTCTTCATCTGCTCCAGGTCTTGGGAAAACCTTTTACTTCTTACTCTCTTCCTTTCATCGAGGACAAGGAGGAAGAGTGGAATTGTTTTTGAGAGCTGGGGTGTCAGGCTTCCTACGCTGAGGTGGGATCCTCATCCCCGCGTACAAGCAGCCTGGTCACTGTGGAGCACACAGCTCCCAATAGGCAGGACCAGCGTGGCTCACGCACAGTGACACCTAACATCTTCTGCCTTTTGCATTTTTCTTTCAGGAAGATCCACGCCTGAAATTTCCAGTACACATGCGGTCAAAGGCATCCTTAAACCCCAACGACCTTGGCCCTCTGCCTGTGAGTACACTGGAGACCCGCGGCCAGTCTGAAATGTTTACTGAGTCGTGGGCTCAGTGTTGATAGGGAAGCCCTGTGATCTTCTCCTTGTCCGGCTGTTTTGAGTCCCCTTTGGTCTGTGAGTTCTTAATAGAGTCGGTTTACACAGTTCACACCGCACATAGCTCTTCTGAAAGAGGTGTCGGAATGGCCGCCCTCTCGCTAGCGGAAGGTACACCTGGCTGCTAGGATGTTCGAGGCTTTCTCTGCAGGTGGCGAGTTAAGCAGCACACATTTATTTTGTAACTTAGCAACCATTGATTTCCATCCATACTGCTGATTTAGTCATAGGAATAAAAATATTAAAAACTGTGGGAGAAAAAGGCATAAGTAATTGCAGAAGGTTTCTCTAAGTCCTTTATCCTGCAGATTCTCCCTTGTCGGTGACTGTTTATAAATCTAATTTTTTATCAGTTCTCTTTTGGGGCCTGAGTGTGAGAAAAGCTATTCACTCCCAAGTTAAATTTTGAATGAAACCTTCTCCATGCTTCTTGACCCACCCACCCACCCCCCGATTTTTTAAAAACCCTTACAGGGGCGGAACGGTGGGGAGTGGTGCCCACTCCAAGACTACTTTAAAGTGGAAAGGTGCTGGAAATTTTTTTGGAGATTGTTTCCCAAGAACCTTATTGTTGCCTGCTGTATGGTATTATATACACAGCCAAATTTGAAGCTTGAAAGATCAGGGTGAAGTCTTTATTCATTAGGTTATACCAACATCCCACACTCCCCAAATGTTGAGTTCTAGGGTTTAGATGGAAAGAGCCCAGAGGAGAGACTGGAGAGAGGGTTTAGAAAGTGAAAGATGGCAAGCTGTCTAGGTCTGCTGGATTCTAGACTTCAGTAGCACGTGGGCACGGTCCAGATAATGAAGGCATACCAGCCTGACCTTGGAAAAATTATCCAGATCTGTTGGTTCCTGAGTAGTGAGAGTTCATGACAGAGAACTGCCATGTTAGATTGTTCAGCCACCTCATGACATAGATATAGCATCCATCTCTCACATTTTATATCAGCCTTCCTGCTCCCTTTACTACTCAATAAATACACAGTTAATTAAATGAACTATTCAACCCCAGGCTCAACTGTCTCACAGTGTGCTGGAATTTCCCTTTGAAACTTTTGAAATAAGAACCCCTGTTCCCTGTTCATCATCCAGAGAGTGCAGCTGAGACTATAGAACATGTGCTGAAGTTCATTTGAAATGTTTCCATTTCATTTATTCCTTATGGAAAGATGTACCCCAGGGGAGAAGGTGCCCTCGAGTCTCCAGCTTTTGCCTTTGATTTTGGAACTGCCAGCTAATGTTTGTCTTCTGTCTCTCTTCCCCTGATACCAGCCTGGCTGGGAAGAAAGGATTCACTTGGATGGCCGGACGTTCTACATTGACCACAGTAAGTAGGCGCGGTCACGGGCATGCAGTGGGGACGAGGGTGCCTCAGACATGACGGTGAAAGCCGTGTCGTCTCCCTCTCCATCTAGGCAGCCAGGTGCTATGTGGCGAGGACGGTGCCAGAGACTCGGTGCCCCCGTACGGTACTGTCCATGCCCCGCGTTCGCTTAAGGCAGCCATCCCAGTTTGACCTTGTGACCTATTAACTTTTTTTTTTAGTTAAAATGTTTTTTCCAATTGACGACCCCTTGACTTTTGTGCTTTTAATAAATACACTCTGGTGATAGAAAATAAGATGAGAAGTGATGTTCAAGTCAGAAATCTATGGAATGAGCAGTGCTTGAAGCAGCCGTCACATTTTTTTAAACTCTGCCTTCAGGGGTCTCATGGCAAGACGCCCATTCTGACTTATTTTCTATTCACAGCATGTCTCCCTGCGCCCAGCACACTAATACAAACGCAGTTCTTTCCTTGAAATTGTAGTACATTTGCTGCGGACATTTACTCCAGCTCCTGTGAATAAACGTGTGGTGTCTTGTGCCAACTAAAAGTTAAACTAATAAAGGTTTGCTTTTAGGCATTAGCTTTGTGGTTTTCTTTTTTTTTTTTTTCTCCCTGTTGGAGTGACATTTTCTCCATGGGATCATATTAGTATATCCCTTAAACCTTCTGAAAATGTATGTTAAAAAGAAGTCTTCAGGTAGATTTAAAGTTCATGTATATGTGTGATCTGATAGTATTTTGAGCTTTCTTTTCATTTGGTTCATAAATGTGAGCAGTAAGTCTACACAAGGTTGCCTAGCCCCACATTTTCTTCAGTTCAGTAGCTCAGTTGTGTCCGAGTCTTTGTGACCCCATGGACCGCGGCATGCTAGGCTTCCCTGTCCATCACCAACTCCCAGAGCATGCTCAAACTCATGTCCATCAAGTCGGTGATGCCATCCAACCATCTCATCCTCTGTTGTCCCCTTCTCCTCCCACCTTCAATCTTTCCCAGCATCAGGGTCTTTTACAGTGAGTCAGCTCTTTGCATCAGGTGGCCCAAGTATTGGAGTTTCAGCTTCAGCATCAGTCCTTCCAGTGAATATTCAGGGTTGATTTCCTTTAAGATTGACTGGTTGCATCTCCTTGCAGTCCAAGGGACTCTCAAGCATCTTCTTCAGCACCACAGTTCAAAACATCAATTCTTCTGTGCTCGGCTTTCTTTATAGTCCAACTCTCATATCCATACGTGACTACTGGAAATACCATAGATTTGACTAGATGGACCTTTGTCGGCAGAGTAATGTCTCTGCTTTTTAATATGCTGTCTAGGTTGGTCATAGCTTTTCCTCCAAGGAGCAAGCATCTTTTTAATTGTAGCCATGAAATTGCAGTGAATCTGCAGTGATTTTGGAGCCCAAGAAAATGAAAGTCTGTCACTGTTTCCATTGTTTCCCCATCTATATGCCATGAACTGATGGGACCAGATGCCGTGATCTTAGTTTTCTGAACGTTGAGTTTTAAGCCAGCTTTTTCACTCTCTTTCACTTTTCATCAGGTTTCTCACATCTTCTTACTTCGTTGCACTGGTTAGTTGAGCACCTTGCTGAGCTGACTGGGAAGTCTGGCCCGAGCCCTCCTGCGGGGGAGTCTGTGGCCGTCTCAAATCTCAGACCCCCTTCCCGGGTTCCGGAGCCACCCGTGCACAGTAGAGAGAACTCTGCTTTGAGGCCCAGGAGTGAGAGGGGCTTTTATCAGTCAAGTTAAACAGAAAGCCCAGCAATTCAGGATTCAGTCAAAATAGAAGTCCAGGGTGTGTTTAGGGATGTGTCTTACCCTTGGTCAGAATTAGATAGTTTAAGGTACATAGGCCTCATTTTTGTCTTTGACCAGTAATCTGACTTTTGCCTACTTCCCAGAGTTTTAGTGAGCATAAAATTGCTGCCATAAGTGCTTTAAAATATGTGTGTCCTCCCACTTTTCCCCTTAATATTCTATTTATAATTCTGCTGTTTCTTAGCATAATTTGCTTAAAATAGTCACACCCCTTTTTCCCATTGAAAACAAAAGACAGTCTTGTTTGATGTTTTTTTGTGCATTACGGTTTCACTTTTCAAAGAGAGGTACGAGTACTAATGACCATTTTATTAAAACAAAGGCTTAACCAATGGCACGACCTTGGTCTTTTGCTCAGAAAGGACCTCACATAGCATTGTGGCTGTGTTCCGGCTGGTAGTGTGATGCCAGGTCAGCCTGAAGAAAACTTGTCCTGATGTACTGCAAGGCCCCAGGAGCAAGAGCAGCGCAATCGCAAAGGGCTGTACTAGGATACATTAGGAATATGAAAAATCATGGTCTGGTTTTCTGGAGGCGTGCACGGACCTGATGAAGTAAATGCTTGACAAGTGGTGACTCGGCTGGCCAGTGGTGGCAAAGTTGTTAGGAAGTTGATGCCCGTGGTTAGAAAGCAAAGAGAACTTGGCTTGAGAGGCATCAGCAGAATGGTGCCTCCAGCCTCAGGCCTGCCCCTACTCCTGTTTGCAGAAGGTGAGGTGAGGTCACTCGGTCACGTCCGACTCTTTGTGACCCCGTGGACTGGGGCCTGCCAGACTCCTCCATCCATGGGATTTTCCAGGCAAGAATACTGGAGTGGCTTGCCATTTCCTTCTCCAGGGGAGCTTCCCGGCCCGGGAATCGACGCTGGGTCTCCTGCACTGCTGGCGGCCGCTTTACTCTCTGAGCCCCCAGGGCAGCCCCTGGTTTGGAGAGGGTAGACCCTTGCTAAATGCCTGGGCGGTTCCTCATTCTTTCAGTCCCTCCAAGCTCCACTCCGACATTCCCCGTTCCTCTTTCCAGACCACACAGCACTCGGGAACCTCCCCTTGTTCATTCCTGGGACTCGGACGATAGGATACAGACCACGGACGGAGCGTGGCTGGCCTGAGCTGTGCCAGTGGTATTTGCAGCACTAGTGGTAAAGAACCTACCTGCCAATGCTGCAGCTGCTAGAGGTGGGGTTCAGTCCCTGGGCTGAGAAGATCCCCTGGAGTAGGAAACGGCAACCCACTCCAGTATTGCCTGGAAAACTCCATGGACAGAGGAGCCTGGCGGGCTACAGTCCATGGGGGTCACAAAGGGTCAGACATAACTGAAGCAACTTGGCACGCACACATGTTAGCTGGGAGTGTAACATTTCTGCCGTTTCTCCCTAATTTGTCAAGGTTTATTCAATGGGAAGCAGTAAAGAGGTACATATCAGTGAAACAGAGCTCCATTCATATGCCTTTCTGAACAAAGGAAACCAAAGTCTAATCTGTGAAAAATGCAGCATAGCTGTTTTCTTTTTAAGACACTTGATCAGGTACAAAGAACCTCTCCAAAATGGGTTGAATTACCTGGAATTTCCTTACCTTCCAAATCAGTCTGTCCTTCTAAACACTTTTCCTGAATCTTAGTTCCAGCAAGATCCAGCACCTCACTTTGTTCTGCTGCTGCCTGCTGGATAGAGACCAGGCCATCCTGCCACACCACGGGACTGTGAGAGCAGGCATCTTGGGAGGTGCTCAGTCATCCGTCCTCCACTTCTCTGGGGCTCGTGACCGTGCACTGACTGTAGGAGAGAGCAGTGCGCTTGTCTGCTAATCCATTAGGTTTTTTATTTTCTGCTTCATAAATTCTTGAGAAGTGAGACATATTTAAGATTAAAAATCTTAAAGATTTAATTTCAGAAGAGCATGAATACTCAATACTAATCTCTTCAGAGTCCCCAGTTGATTTGGCTGACATTTATCAGATTGGGCTTCCCAGGCAGCTCAGATAGTGAAGAATCTGCCTGCAAGGCAGGAGACCCGCATTCGATCCCTGGATCAGGAAGATTCTCTGGAGAAGGGAATGACAACCCACTCCAGTATTCTTGCCTAGAGAACTCCACGGACAGAGGAACCCTGGTGGGCTACACAGTCCGTGGGGTCACAAAGAGTCGGACAGGACTGAGGGACTAACACTTTTCACTTTATCAGGTAGTTTGTGTGTTTCACGCCTGGTGTAAAAGGTTAAGGCAAGGTCTTGAGCTGAAGCCTACCTCTCTCAGGAATTGTACAGTTCTTCTTAAAGACCTGAGGTGCCCAGATGCTGAATACGTGCCCAGCAGGGGCTTATATATCAACGCAGAGCTAGAAAATAAAATTCCAGGGGTGCTCTAGATCTCCTCTTAGTCTGCCTGCAGTCGTACCGCACCCATCAGTGGTGGTGGTGGTTAGTCAGTAAGTCGTGTCCAACTCTTGTGACCCTGAAGGCTGTAGCTCGCCAGGCTCCTCTGTCCATGGGATTCTCCAGGCAAGAATACTGGAGCAGATTGCCATTCCCTTCTCCCAGGTATCTTCGTGACCCAGAGATCAAGCCCAGGTCTCCTGCATTGCAGGCAGATTCTTTACTATCTAAACCACCAGGGAAGCTGTACCAAACCCATTAATGGTATCTAAATGGACTAAGTTTCATTCTTCTACTTCATTCTTGCCCCCTTTATTTGAAATATTGTGGCTCAAAGAGAAAAAGCAAGTTTAGGTTCAAACGTTTCAGTACCGAATGGGTTAACTGGCCACCGACATTGTTATCTTGATAATTCTTAAGTGCAAAATTGATGATTATGATAACCATACAGAACTGTGTGTGGTTCTGAAAGCTTAGACTGTTTTAAAAAGGAGTTTGTTTTCGCCATCCACTTCATTTGGTCATTTAAAAAAAACCCAGGCTCCTGTTGCGTGCTGGGAAATGTGTTCAGCGGTGGAGAGGAAGCCGCAGAGATGAGCAGTGCTCAGGCCCTGTCCGCCCTGGGCTCAGCTTGAGTAGGTCGGGAGTGCCAGGAGGTATTTAAGTGCTGCCTTAGGGGAGTGAACCTGTTCTTCTGTCCAAGTGCTGGGCTCCAGGAGGGGGAGGGAGGCTGCAAGAGAGGACCTTGTGGAATGGGTGACTTTTCCAGTGGATCCAAAATAGGTTTAGTCGGGCACGCCCAACAGAGAGGTTTCAGGAGGGAGAAAGCGGGTGGCACTGTGATGAGAGAAGCACAGTGGGCTTGCAAGCCGCCGGCAGGACACAGGGTCAGGCTCAGCGGGAGCCTGCCAGGGCTGGGGCTCGGTCCCTTCTGCAGCCAGACCGGAGCACCAGAGGGGCCATCCAAAAGGGACTGACATGGCCAAATCTGTTCTCTCGAAAGAGTCTCTTGGCAGAGCTGTAAAGGCTGTTCTGAACAGGGGTGAGTGAGCCTGAGGCCAGGGAAACCTGAAGAGTGTGGGGAGAGGCGAGTGCCCCACAGAGAAGCCTTTTCAGGGAGAGGTGGGAACAGGGGTGACCGCCGTGCTGAAAGGTTGAGGGGGGGAAGGGGGTGGCAGGTTCAGCTTTGAACCAGGAATGGATCGCGACTGTTAACGAGGAAGGCAAGTCTCTGTGAACCGCTTTGGTGTTGGAAGATTATGGCTTCGACTCTGGCAGAGTTGGGTTTGAGGTGTTTCCCATGGGAAGTCCAGGTGCTGGTGTCAAGGATGACAGCTCAGAGTTCCCATCTGGACAGATCAGGAGTTGTCATATGTAGGTAGCAGTTCATTTATTTTCTGCTTGGATAATGGCGCCCAGTCTATATTATAGTCCAAGGCAGTTTTTACTCAGCTGGGTTTTTCCTTTATTTAGTTTTCTTTTCTCTTGTTCCCCATCACAATAGCAGCTCTTACTTTCTGAAAACTTTTGTTTTCAAAGTAAGAAACCCAAAAATGCCTTTTACTTCCATCAGCGTTCTCTAAAACATTGAAATATTTCATGTAACTTTTCTACCGAATTGTTAGAATCTGCAATTGTCATGTGCTTTGGTAGCTTTATTTTAAAACTTTACCACTGCTCTGGTTACCATACCAGACTTCAAAAAATTCCTGGGATAGTCATTGAAACCAAATATTTTAGTTATTCCTATCAGTCCACTTACTAAGTATACCAGAAATAGAATATTCTTCTCAGACCAGTAATTTCCCTTTTTTAAAGCCAACTTAGATTTCCTGAAACTCCGTCTCCCCTCCCCATATCTTTCATGTCAGTCCATCCCTGCCTGCCCCCTCAACACACACAGTAATCCATAAAGTCATTTTAATTAACATGTGCTAAGTCACTTCAGTCATGTCCAACTCTTTGAGACTCCAGGGACCGTAGTCCACCAGGCTCCTCTGTTTATGGGTTTCTCCCAGTGAGAATACTGAAGTGGGTTGCCATTTCCTTCTCCAAGGAATCTTCCCCACCCAGGGATTGAACCTGGGTCTCCTACATTGCAGGCAGCTTCTTTGCCAAATGAGCCAAATGCACAGTCACCAATCCCAAGTGATCCAGATAGCTATCTTGTGTTTCCACCTTTACCATTGAAACGGTGGTGTAGGTGCCAGTGACCAGTCTTGTTGACACTGACTCATTTGGGAGAAAGAACGACTTCTCTCCAGCTCGGCCGGAAGGGAATCTTTCCTCTGGTATCCTCCTCTGCTGTATTTAATTCTCATTTTTTCAGCTTGCCTTAGCTGTTTTGATTTTTGTGTGCATCTGAGTGAAACATGTAATGGATTATTCATTCGTTCAGCATAGGACTTTTCATCAAAAGCAGTTTGCAGCACCATAAATAAAGGGAATGGTATTTGAAATGAGAAAAATCATGTCTCCATGTTAACTTTGGGGGTACTAAGACTTTTTTATGCCTTTTTAAAAATTAAATGAAAATCAAGATCAAGTTATAAATCCTTGAAGGAACAGGGGTTTATAATTGAAATTCCAGCAGATTGTTTGTCAGGAAGTGTGAATAAACGGTTTTACTTTAGTTGTGCATTTTTGATTGATTGTTTTTAACTAGACAGTGTCAGAGGTGCCTATTATTCTGTTCTAACCCTGAAATACTAAGCTATTTATCTTTGGGGGTCAGGATGGGGAACTGAGCAACTTTTGGAAAATCCAGAAATAACTCTTTCTAAAACATTTTTAACATTAAATAGATTTGAACTAATAAGCTTTTTTATTTATTTTTAATATTTTCAGATAGCAAAATTACTCAGTGGGAAGACCCAAGACTGCAGAACCCAGCTATTACTGGTCCGGTCAGTATTCTAAAGTTCTAACTCTTCAGTCTGCTATTTTGGTTGCAGCTAAGCACATATTTCTTGTATATTCCTGCCTACCTTGATACCAAGGGCCTGACTGGTGTCCTTGAGAAATTTAACATCACTCCCATCTCCTCCTCCCTGGAATTTCTGGGTGAGACATTGATTGCTCCATTTGCCTTTTCACAGGGCTTTCAATATAAAGGAAGAGAACGTGATTTACTAGTGGTAACAAAACTAAGCTTTCTCTTTTGTATTTTATAAGAGGGTAGATTAAAATACAGCAATCAAAATATCCTCCCTTCCTTTTTATATGAAGCAAAACCTTGTCCTGGATTTATAGAGTTTTGACATTTCCTGAGGCCACGGGTAGTATATGCATGCTAATAAATTTAAATTGGATTCTGAACCTCTTCCGGCTCTAAAAACATGCAAAGGTTTGGGTGAGATTGTAGCTGAGCTCCAGAGCTGGTTGAGTTAAGAATCCTTGTTTCTGCTGACCCACTAATAGTCCCCTCATGTGTGTTCATCAGGAAGATAGCCTACCTGTCACTCAGCAGTTAAGAAGTACCTGGTTTCAGACACCTGGGTGGAGTCTGGAATAGGCCACAATGATTACAGGGAATGCAGCAGTTTTTTGTCAGTGGTTATGTAAGTGTAAGGAGAGACTCTCTTTTTGCAGGAACTGTGCTGGAGTCAGGAGAAGATTACAAATTGGGGAATCTTTTAAAAACTAGAGGAGCTAAAGGAAGTAAAGTTTGTTACGCTGAGTGCTGAGCTAAGAGACCATAGGTGTATTTCAGATACCAGTTTTGGGGACTTCACTGGTGGCCCACTGTTTAAGACTTCGCCTTCCAGTGTGGGGAGCGCAGGCTCAGTCCCTGGTCGGGGAGTGAGATCCCACGTGGCTTCGAGACCAAACAACCAAAACATACAACAGACTCAGTAAAGACTTTTAAATGGTCCACATCAAAAAATCTTTCTAATACTAATTTTGTGACTTTAATCTGATTCAGTTCAAATCACGTTTTGAATTCTGTGTCCATTTGAAAACTTAGACGATAATACAGGGCAAATGCACGTTGATGCCTGATGTCCCTTTAGCTAGTTGTTGGATTTGTTCAGCTGCTTTGCTGCTGGTTAATGCAAAATACCGAGCAACACTTGGGTCAAAACAGACATCAGGTTCTCTTCATGCAGCTTAACGAAAACACCTGCCTCACTGCCATGGGTTCCTTTCGATACATTCACAGTCACAGTAAGTCAGAGCAGTATTTCCCCTTAACAGAAACACCTGCCTCACTGCCATGGGTTCCTTCCCATATATTCACAGTCACAATAAGTCAGAGCAGTACTTTCCCTTCTGCATCGTGAGAAACAAGGTAAATTCAAGAAACGATGCTGTTTTTCAAGCAGCAGAGGACTTTTGACATAACTCTGAAGCCTTTTCAAGTATCTATCAATTACTGATCATCTGTCTTCATGCAACATTGTTAGTTCTTATTCATTACTACTGGAAATTATTTAGCATCATAAATCCAGATAGATTTGCCGTGAGGAAAGATCTTTGTTTCTTTATTTTCTAATAAAAGAGACTTGTTTCCTCTTTTATTATAGGTAGTGGTATCTCTGTCAGTGAGAGCATGTGTATTTAGGTATCGTCACCTTAGTGTAGATAAGTGATTTTTGTTTTAATTCAGTTCTAAATTTTGGGGAATTTCCACAATGATTTCTTTCTGTCCTTAGCTTATAAATTATTTAGAATAAACTTTTTAGTTTCTAAGAGTTTGGGAGGGTTTTTACCTCTTTCTTACTAATTATTGTCAGAGAATATTGTCTGTGGATTATTATTAGATATCTGAAACTTCTTTGGAGGCTTGACCATTTTTTGTTACTGTTCTCTTTGTATTTGAAAAGAATGTGTATTCTGTCTTTACTAGGTATAGAGTTCTTTATATGCCTGTTAGATCAAGTCTGTGGTGTTCAAAGTATACATTTCCATCATGACTTTCCCCGGCTTTTCAAGTGTAATTGAGTCAGTTGGGTCAGAATCTCTCATGATGACTGTGGCTTTGTCAGTCACTATGTTCACTCTGCTTCACTAGTATTTGCTTAATATATCTTTTCTGTCTCTTCTTACTTTCTGTTGGACTGATAGAGTAGTCTTTATTTTCTCTTTCTATACTTGCTTGGAAGTTGTATTTTCTCTTTCTGTTCTTTCAGTACTCACTTTAAAACTTTTAACCAACATACTTGACTTAATGTCAAAATTAATCACCCTCTCTCTCTCTCTTCCTGGATAATATACAGCTTTGGGGAACTTAAGCGCTGTTCTTCTAAAAAGAAATGATGCAAATGAACTTACTTACAAAACAAAAACAGACTCCCAGACTTAGAGAAAGAACTAATGGTTACCCAAGGGAAGAGAGTTAGGGACATATACACACTGCAGTGTTTAAAATGGATAACCAGCTCGGACCTACTATATAGCCCAGGGACCTCTGCTCAATGTTTTGTGGCAGATTGGAAGGGAGGAGAGTTTGGGGGGAACAGATACTTGTGTATGTATGGCTGAGTCCCCGTGCTATTCACCTGGAGCTATCAAAGCTTTGTTTATCAGCTATACCTTAATATAAAATAAAATAAAAATTTTAAATGCTGTTCTTCCCAGTCCCACTTTCCATTGTTCAAGGGAATTTTAAAACTACTTTATCTTTAAACTTGCCAAATGAAAGTGAAAGTGAAAGTCACTCAGTCATGTCTGACTCTGCGACCCCATGGACTATACAGTCCATGGAATTCTCCACGCCAGAATACTGGAGTGGGTAGCTGTACCCTTCTCCAGGGTATCTTCCCAGCCCAGGGATCAAACCCAGGTCTCCCGCACTGCAGGCAGATTACCGGCTGAGCTAGCAGGGAAGCGCCAAAAACTTGCCAAATAATTGTTAACATTTTCTTTTTTTTTTTTTAAAGCTGTCAATGCTTGTTTACTTACATATAATCGAATTTCTTTGTCTACCGTTGGTTCTTGCATTTACTTTTTCCCAGGTTAAGTTTTCTCCTTAATGAAGTTTAACCTCTACTTCATGACTCTAAAACTGTCACCTATAGATCAACAGCATCAGAACCATTCAGAAACTTATTAGAAATGCACATTTTGAGGTCCTAAACCAGACCTACTGAAAATCAGCAACTTTGGTGTGGGCCCTGCAGTCTGTATTTTAACACACCCCCGCAAGGATTCTGATGCGCACCCAAGTGTCAGAACCTCTGCTTTGCCAGCAATCTCAGTGAGCGTGTGAGAGAGAAGGGGCTTACCCGCCTGTCTGTCAAATGATAGTTTAGCTGACTATAGAATCCTTGGTCAACAGTTACTTTCCTTCAGTACTTTGGAGTTGTTTTTTTTGTTTTTTTTCCTCTCTTCCAGCCTCCATAATAAGTTTGTTGTCAGTCTAATTGTCATTTTTTGATGAGGAAATCTCCAGTGATTTTTAATTTTTCCCTGTCTTTAATTTTGTACAATTTTATTATCATGAATGTAAGTGTAGGTTTCCTTTTATGTATTCTACTTTAGATTCGTCGTGATTCTTCCTTATGGGGATTGCATCTTTCCTTTATCTGGGAAAGTTCCCCACAGTTATTCCTTTGCATATTGTACTTTCCATTTTTATTATCTGTATCAGCAGCTCATATTAGGTATTTGATTCAGTTTCATATTCTGTCTTATTTCTGAGCTTGTCCACCTTCTGTCTGTCTTATTGCCATGTTGCGGGCTCAGCTCTCCCAGTGAATTACCTTTGAAGCTTTTTATCATCTACTTTGTATCAGTGCATTGTGCCAATATTTCAGTGACTGGGTTTAATTGCTCAAAGTTCTGCTTGATCTTTTTAAATTTGCTTGGCCCTTTTAGTTACTGTTATTCTGTCCTGTTCTTTCATTTATTTTTCTACCCATACTTTTAAATCATGCAGCATTTAAATCGTTCTTAGAATACTTAGTTCATAGCCTCTTTTATATTTATTCTCATCTCTGGTCTTAGTGGTTTTAAATCTCTCACTTGTCATGTCTATAGACTCTCCTCAGGGGTAGGTGATTGTCTAGTTCAGTGTATAATTTTTTTTATTTTTAAGTGTGTGTGTACTCGTCTTTTTTTTTATCTTACAGGTCTTTCATATGTCCAGAACTGTATTTTCTGTTAACTGTTTAGTTTATGTTTACACACCCTTAGTTACTATAACTATGGGCCTGATACTCACTCTGGTGGACAGACATGGAGTCTTGAGTTTATTAGAGGTCTGGGTTTGTCTATTATTTTTCTCCCAGTTATGATCCTGGACAGAAGGTAAGCTTCCTTGTAACTTCCCCAGGCCTGTGGGTGGAATTTTCTTGTATGCTTCTCAGACGAGGGTCTTGTGCAGGAAGCCGTGTTCTGGGTCGTGCAGACTGTAGGCCATGTTCCGTGTCCCCATGTGAGGATTAAAAACTCAAGCCCAACTGCCAAGTCTGGGTCCAAACCCCAGTTTTCTAATTTTGAGTCTTTCTGCCTATCTGGCACCTAGAGTTTCTTTTTCCCAAGTTTTAAAAATGTCTGCATACTGTCAGGGAGGAGACCCTTCTGTGACATTACTGTGCTTCAGTATGCTCTTGGTATGACAAGCATCACCACTAAAGGCCCTGGAAACATGAAATGCTGTTCATACCTGCTTCTCTTAAGAGCACTGTCTCATGCTTATGTAACGCTTTGTACTTACTCAAGAACTTTATATAACCAACTGCTTTGAAACTCACAGCAGTCCCGTCAGGATGGTAGGGAAGAAGTTGTGATTCCCAGTTTCTCAGAAGCTACTTGTGTTGCTAAAAGTTAAAGTCTGGGTCAGAATCCAGGCTGGAGCCTCAGCTCTCCTGGCCCCACCGACTTCTCTGTCAGGCCCGGGCCCTTCTCTGCCAGGAGCTCCAATGTCAGCAGTGGACAATGATGGCATGCAGATGCTTAGAACCCACATAGACAGTGTCAGGTTTTCATTTTCTTCAAAAAAGAAAGCTTATTTAATAGAGGGCAGCTTTAATCAACAGATACATTCATTTTTTAAAATACCCTTATTTAAAAGTTATGTTCTGTATAAGAAAATAAGATGCCAGATTTTCACGAGAGAATAAATAGTTTGGCCTGTCCAATACAAGAAACGTAATTCTCTTCAGAGGCTGCAGTGAATGGATGTCTTTATCCTGGTACTTTGTTGGAATCCTTTTAGGAGAAGGATATAAAAAGCCATTGTTTAAAAAAAAAAAAAAAAAAAAAACCTTTGTAAGAATGACCCCTAGAGAGAAAAATGAGTATTAGAGGAGGAGGAAGATTTCTTAGCTTTCATGCATCACCTCCTCAGGAGGAGAGAGGCCAGAAATATCTCCGCACTGATTTCCACCCGCAGCTAGCAGATTGTGAGCCAGTCGGGGCGGAGGTACCATGGGCTGAGGGCAATGCTTTGAAATACATTCCTTGGGAAACTTGTCATTTAAGACTGTCGGACTTGCATACACAGTGATGAATGTTCAAGCCTTTTTTCAGTGTTTTCAGATGAGGAAACAAAAAAAATAATTGCTGGGACTGACATTTGGGTAAATGAAAGAGCCTTACAATTTGACTAGTTGAGTCCTTCCACTTCACTGTGCAAGAACTCAAGATTAGAGAGGTTATATGACAGAGCCAGCTGGCAGGGAATCTGTCCTACAAATCTGGGCTTCTGAAGCTGGCGTGAAACCATAAAAGGAAATCTTTTTTTTTTTTTTTCCAGCTTAATTTTCTTCTATCACAGTTAACCATACCTGAGAACCTCAGACAAATACTTTTCCTTTTTGACACTTTGCTTTCTTTGAGATCTCACTATTCCTGTCATGGTTTGTTCCGTCCTGTCACTCTCATTTCTGCTCAGGTTTCTCTTTCCTGTGCCACCTTCCCCAACCATCTCATGTAAGAGGAATTCTATCATTTTCCTGCCTTGCATTTAGTTATTATATTCATTTAGTTTTTATTGCCCGTTGCTCACAGTAGCTTCTAAAAAAGCTACAGAGCAAAAAGCATGATAATGTCTTTATTGGCTTAGTTCAGACCATTGTATCCATTTCCTTATGCTGGTGGTTGTCCAGATGGTGATAAAACCTCTACCTTTTCTGGAAGCGGAATTCATACATTATTTCATCAGACTGTCCAAAATAAATGCGATATATAGTCATGTCTAATGTTCAGTGGAGAAGCAAACAAAGACTGGCTTAAAAACTAAAAACAAAGAACAAACCATAGGTAGTATAGATGGTCTTTTTTTTAAATTGAAGTATAGTCAATCTGCAGTATTGTGCCAGTCTCCACCATACAGCAGTGACTCCGTGACACACACACTGGGTGTATGTACAACTGTGTATATATAGTTACATACATATTAAATTGTGTATATATAGTTACACACATATTAAACTGTGTGTGTATAGTTACACACATACTAAACTGTGTATATATAGTTACATACATATTAAACTGTGTGTGTGTAGTTACACACATATTAAACTGTGTATGTATAGTTACACACATATTAAACTGTGTGTGTATAGTTACATATTAAGCTGTGTATGTATAGTTACACGCATATTAAACTGTGTGTGTAGTTACATGTTAAACTGTGTGTGTATAGTTACACACATGTTAAACTGTGTGTATAGTTACACACATGTTAAACTGTGTGTGTATAGTTACGTACATGTTAAACTGTGCGTGTATAGTTACATACATGTTAAACTGTGCATGTATAGTTACACGAATATTAAACTGTGTATATATAGTTACATACATATTAAACTATGTATATATACTTACATACATATTAAACTGTATATGTATAGTTACGTACATACTAAACTGTGTGTGTATAGTTACATACATATTAAACTGTGTGTGTGTGGTCACATACATACTAACCTGTGCATATATAGTTACATACATACTAAACTGTGCATGATTTACACCAGGACCTTGTTGTTTATCATTTCTAAGTGTAGCAGTTTGCATCTCCCAACCCCAACCTCTAGTCCGTCCCTCTGCCTCTCCTCCTCGACAGCCAGTTGTCTTCAGAATGCTCTTAAGACACATAAATGTAATGTCTTTTGCTCTTGAATTACAGAGCAGAATACTGGCATGATCACGGTTTTCTGTGACAGCAGCTACTTGTTTCTGTTTTGGCCTAGTTACTGTCTGTGTGACCATGTCTTAGAGCAGTACAAAGGGAAGAAACTCTTGCTCTTCATTTCCTCTCTTTCTGGTCAGGAATAAGTGTGGCTGAAGCATAAGGTTTGGAATCTGGAAACCCTTTGCAAAAGATTAATATATTTCATTAATGCAGCCCAAAATGATATCAGCAGAAGTATCTTGCCCAGACTCACACTATGCTCCAGAAAGCAATGAGTTGTTCTGAGTGTAAGGCTGTCACAGTTTTGTCCGTGTGTGTGCAAAAGCCAATCCTTTCTGCTTCAGAAAAAGAATTGTAAGCCTTTTCAACAGCTTGAAGTCAGGGCTCTCAGATACTGTAAGCTACCTGACAACATAACAAGTAAGGAATATTTGAATGACGGTATAAAAATGTTACTGCTTTACCTGAAGAGATCCCAGAGCTTGTGAATAATGTTAGCTCAGTTACTGAGCTCACTCCTGAGGGGTCATCCCTCTGCTCCTTAGACACAGCCTTCCAGATTTAAAGAGATCCTTGCCCATGACCACTAAATAATCAGCTCCTAAAATGAGGATGTTTCCAGCGTGCTGTCTACTCAGTTTTTTATTCCTTGACAAGAGAATCAGTTCACTTGCCTTTCTGCTGTTAACTTTTTCTCCCAAAGATTGTTAAAGCTCAGTTAGCCTTTTCTGAATGACAGTGCAGCTCATTTGGAGTTGAGTGTTAAAATATATGATCAAAAAGATTACAATGCACCTTGATGCCTATTCAGACAAAAGTCACATGGAAAGTCTATTTAGTTTATGTATAATATCTCTAAGTGATTTCTTGAATATCCGTATTGTTTTCAGGGGTGAAAGCCTCATTCAGTGCTGAATAATCTTAATCATTTCTAGAACTTCCCATATGGTGTATAGACATTATGTAAATTTCAATGATTATATGGAGAGTGACAATTTTAAGGTTCATGATTCATGAAATTTTCTGAATGTTGGCTTCATGTACATAAAATTTCAACTGTATTGTTCATATTGTCTATATTTATACATTTGTCTTCCAGGCTGTTCCTTACTCCAGAGAATTTAAGCAGAAATATGACTACTTTAGGAAGAAATTAAAGAAACCTGTGAGTACATGTCTTCCAAAATTGCTGCCTTAGTCATTTGTAAGTTACCAAAATTACTTCAGTGAAAACTTGTTTCTTACTTTTATGTCTATACCGAAAATGCTACTTTCCTTTTTTCACTGCACTTTAATCCACCTGGATCTTCAATCTGAATTTTCTTTTTAACAGAAATGGTAAGTCAATATTAACTTAGTATTATTGGGTCGGCCAGAAAGTTCATTTGGGTGTTTCCATATCATCTTGCAGAAAAACCTTTTGGCCAACCCAAAACATATTAAATAACCTGAAGATAATTTCTCGTGTAATGCATAAAAAGATGGAAATGATTTCATGAGATATAAAATAATTCAGGACCAAGTGAAAAAAATTGGAGAAGCCTATGCAATTGCTTAGGTTACTCTATTTAATAAAACCTCAGTCCTAATTATAAAAATGTTCAAGTGTGTCCATTTAAATTCCAAAGTATAGTTTTAATTTTGATGTGTAAAACATAAATATAATTTATAATATTTGGCATATTAAGACCAAATGTCACTTTCAGAGTAAAAATTCTCACTGGGAAAGCCATTAAGATTCTGGCAAAACGAAGAGACCTTGTAAGGCTTTTTGCAGGCAGTGTTTTACATTACAATATTATATTTTCTACTGACACATCTCCCCAGATCCTCTAACACTGGGTCTTCCGTCTCACTCTGGTCTCACCTGACTGGTGAGGATTTCCCGGTCTTCTCCCGACTTGTGGCTTCACTCTTCCTGCGGTGTTTGCACGCGGGTCACTGTTGATGGGCTTCTGCTCACTGGGAAAAGGGGTGTGTCTCCCACAGCTCAGATCTCCCCGTCTGCCTGCGCTTCCTGCCCGCCCCCCCCCAGCCCACTCCACCCCCCCAGCCCACTCAGATCTCACCGTCTGCCTGCGCTTCCTGCCCGCCCCCCCAGCCCACTCCGCTCCCCAGCCCACTCCACCCCTGCCTCTGCTGTGGATGATGCACCAGGGACACACAGATGCCTGGGACCCAGCCTCCGCCTCGGGGAGCTCCCACTGCGGGTTCTGCTCTCTTTTCCATCACCCTGAATCACGGAGCTCCTGGTAACTCCATCTTAGAATGACTCAGATTTGAACCCCTGGAATTCCCATGTTTCTTTGTGAGTCGCCTGCGTTTCTTCTGAGGATAAGTGATGACTGAGGGGCCCACCCTGTCTCACTCTGTAGCACTTGCCCTCTGTGGTACCTTCTGCCTGGACACTGACTCTGCAAATCCATCATCATAAGAGAGCCAACCCTGGGCCTGTTTGCCAGGAAGCAGTTGTTCTCATCTTCAGTCAAGTGCCTTTTAATTTTTACATTTATCGTCAAATAGCTGTGGCCTTTGGCCTGATCATCAGGGTCTGCCCACCCCCACCCTGGCAATAGAATTAGCTTCTAAGCATCATGGACCCACGCCTGCAGCCGGAGCCCCTACCAGGGCTCAGAGTCATCCCAGCCTGGCTAGGTGGGGGTTGTCTATGGGTTTTAATCATCTGGACCGAAGTCCCTTTCTTTAACTGAAACAATATAGAGAGCTGACCGTGTTTCAGTTGCCAGCGGATGGATAAGGGCCCCGCAGTTGCTCATAAAACAGGACAGGATGATTTGTCTCTACTCAGCGTAGTTTGTTCCACAGCACGTGTTGCTGACTCAGTCTGACAGCTGCTCATGGATGCTGTGTGTCTCCTCCTGATATAGCGAGGCTTTCTGTCTGTGAAGAAAAATCCAGAAAGAGCAGAGTCCCAATTGGAACCATTCATCCCTGATTGTTTATTCTAAGGCTTCCATCATTTCTGCTCTTTGCTGTTTTTCTGTTAGGAAGTCAGGTGTATTTTTACTGTCTTGACTGTGTGTCGTTTTTTTTTGTTTTTTCTTTAATTTTTTAGGCTGATATTCCAAATAGGTTTGAAATGAAACTTCACAGAAATAATATATTTGAAGAGTCCTATCGGAGAATCATGTCTGTGAAAAGACCAGATGTCCTGAAAGCGAGGCTGTGGATTGAGTTTGAGTCCGAGAAAGGTCTGGACTACGGGGGCGTGGCCAGAGAGTGGTTCTTCCTACTGTCCAAGGAGATGTTCAACCCTTACTACGGCCTCTTCGAGTACTCGGCAACGTAAGTGTCTGGAGTGCATTCGGAATGTGTCCCCCCACAGAGACAGGTTTATTCTTCATGAATTTAAAGTTGATGAGAGAGTGGGCTTCCCTGGTGGCTCAGATGGTAAAGGATCTGCCTGCAATGCAGGGGAACCTGGTTTGATTCCTGGTCCGGAAAATCCCCTGGAGAAGGAATAGGCTGCCCACTCAAGTATTCTTGGGCTCCCCTGGTGGCTCAGATGGCAAAGAATCTGTCTGCAGTGCGGGAGACCTGGGTTGGGAAGATCCCCTGGAGGAGCGCATGGCAACCCACTCCAGTACTCTTGCCTGGGGAATCCCATGGACAGAGGAGCCTGACCCGCTCCAGTCCATGGAGTTGCAGAGTCGGACAGGACCGAGCAACAGAGCGCACAGCGAGAGAGCGAGCAGCTCACTCACTGGAGGTGAAGGAACACTGCTGACCTCAGCCCCTCCCTCCCGCCTCCCCGGACGTCCACGTGGTGAAATACAATGCACTGTGAACACCTAAAAATAATTCTTCTCTTGTCTCTTGGGTTCATGTAATTGAAAACGTGTTGGGTACTTATGGTAAGAACAGAGCACTTTTCATTTGTTATGTTAATTCAGGGGAATTTGTCACTGTCAGAATTCAGAAGGTCGTTGTTAACAGGAATAGTTTCTGACATTATACTGCTTAAAGGGAAATTGCGGACCCGTCCCTTAGGATCAGAGGACTGTCCTGGGCCTGCAAGGCAAGGCCTAGCCTTCCCCTCGCCTTAGGATTTCATCACTGCCGGGTGTGAAGGCTGAGGCAGTCAGTGGCTTTCTCGGGAATCAAGCCGTGGCTGCTTAGAAGGCCGCCGTTTCCCCCTCCAGGCTGCGGCTCCCCAAGCCTCAGGCTGGGCCCAGTCCCTCAGTAGGAGGGTCGTTGACCTTGAGAAGCAGCCCGCGCTCTCTGGGGCCGCACCTTCCGCCTGGTGCCGGTCTCCTGAGGGCTGTTTGGAGAGCACAGCCTCAGTGCCCTGGCCAAGAGGTTCCCATTTTGTAAAACTGACACAAGCCATGAAAATGGAGAGGATCAGAGACCACACCCACACCTCACCCACACCCCAGCGTGGAGTCCAGAGGAGTCCAGCTGCAGAGCCTGTGAAAAGTGCTGATGCTCGTGACTGTGAGACCAGACGGCAAACCAGTGCACGTCCGCACTCTAAGGCTCCCGCTGTCGGGGCAGCCTGTGCCACCACCAGGGGCCGTTCAGGGCAGAGTGCTGGCCAGACGGGCCAGGGGTTGGGCCCCAAGGAGAAAACCCCCAAACCAGAAGCCTCTGGAAGGAATTAACCCTCTTACCTAAACCCTCATGTGGCTGGGAGTCTGCATCCAGCCTCTGTGGTCTGTGGTGTTTCTCATCTTCCAGAGGTACTTGGCCGAACCGGATAAAACTGACGTTTCTGTCAGTCAGCACAGCCAGATATCCACAGTTCCTTATGGTTTAACTTAACAGGGCATGTTCACCAGCTCTAGTAGATCTCTGTCCTTGATCATGGAAAGAGACTAACCGCTAAATAAACTCTGTTCTCTAGCTTTTACTCCTTATCTGTCAGGTACAGGATGTTACAGGTATACTATGAAAGCCTGTTGACAGGCGGAAACAGAAAATTCAAATGCTTGCATTTCTTTTGTTGTTGTTCAGTCGCTAAGTTGTGTCCAACTCCTTGCAGCCCCATGGACTGCAGCATGCCAGGCCCCCCTGTCCTGCACTGTCTCCCGGACTTCGCTCAAATTCATGTCCATTGAGTCAGTGATGCTATCTTAACTGTTTCATCCTCTGTCACCCCCTTCTCCTTTTGGCTTCAGTCTTTCCCATCATCTTTTCCATTCAGTTGGCTCTTTGCATCAGGTAGCCAAAGTATTGGAGTATCAGTCTTTCCAGTGACTATTCAGGGTTGATTTCCTTTAGGACTGATTGATTTGATTACATTTCTTTTTTCTCTCTTCCTCCCCAAAAGGGACAACTACACACTTCAGATCAATCCCAATTCAGGCCTCTGTAATGAAGATCATTTGTCCTATTTCACTTTTATTGGAAGAGTTGCTGGACTGGCAGTGTTTCACGGGAAACTTCTAGATGGTAAGTTATTAAAAAAGTGTTGGATTAATAAAAACAGGACAGTGTTCTCTGTGTCCTTTCATGAGGTGTCTTATTCACATCATGGAGTTTAAGCAGAAGAGCGTCACTGGTTCTCTGTAAATCGGTAGATTCTCTTTTTAATGCTTAGCCCATAACAAAGGTGCTTCTTAAGACCGTGACGCCCTCGGACGCAGCAGACACGCAGCATGTCGGTGTCAGCCCCGAGCCCCGTCTCTCGCCTCACCTTCGTCCCTCCCCAGACGCCGGAGAGCTTTGAGCCTCATCTTAGGGCCACACTGAGCTGGAGGGAGTAGGAGCTGCTGCCGGGGGTGGGTGCCTGGGGAGACCTAGGGCGGGCTGAGGACGGGGATTGAAGGTGGAGGGGGCCGAGGTTCCCACGTCCTGTTGAGAGGCGTGTGGTGCAGGCCGGCCTGACACGGGTGCGGGGGGTCCTCACTGCTGTCACCCCACTCGGTGCCCCCTCACCCCTGGAAGACTGCACAGGCTCCTCCACGGTCTCCTGCGCTCCCTTCTCACCCCGTCCTCCTCTCCCCACCTGCTGGCCAGGGCACCCTTGCTGCTGTCCTGGCGAGCCCCCGCCTTGCCCCCCGCTGGGAGTGCCTTTCTCGCCCTGCACACACCCCGTTTGCACTGCAGGTTCCGGCCTCTGCTTGAAGCTGCTCGGTCATCTCGCAGCAGCCTTTCTGGCCTCCGCATTCCGCCAGGCCATCCCTGTTAGTGTAACTGCCCTGCTTCCCCATCCGATCCCCACCCCCGTGCACACCAGGCCCGTGTCTGACTACAGAGGGTCCTTGCTGTCTCTCCTGGTCCCTCATGCACATGAAAGCGGGTTAGTTTTTAGTTCGTGCTCTGGTGCACAGCATCGTCAAAGATTTGAAACTAACCCAGTTTTCCCCACACTTTAGGTTTCTTCATTCGACCGTTTTATAAAATGATGCTGGGAAAGCAGATAACTCTGAACGACATGGAATCTGTGGTGAGTAAATACGAGTTACTCTGGTGGACATCACAAGCCGCTTGTGCTTTATAGAGAGGGAGTTGAGACCGTGGGGTAATCATAGCGATTTTTATAGGCACCCTCGTTCAGTATGAGCAGCAAGGAACATTTAGTTGTTTAAGAGGTTAACTGATCTCCATAACTTTTTAAATAAGCAAGTCATTGTTCACATTTGCTAGAGTCACGGTATTTGCGGTAGACACACCCACAGCTCAGTTACCTCTACTTACCCAGGACTAGATTGACCAAGGTAAACCCAAGGGTCATCTAGAAACCTCATCATTGCCCGTGTTTTCCATTGAAATCGCTAATACTGAACAGGTTACAGGTTCGTCTGCCATCTCTTTGTTTTCCAACCTAAAACAATGGCAGGGGACCGGGCCAAACAGTAGATAAGGGAAAGATATTTGATGTCACCCTAGACACGGAAGAAGGGTAAAGGACCCAGTGTAGGAGAAGAATGAAAAAGTAAACAGTAATTGCTGATTTTTGATTTGGGTTTTCATGTTGCATTTAACTTGCTCATTTTTAATTTCGGCCGACCCTTTCAAAGTTGAAAAGATTTTCTGTAAAAGCAAAATCCAGTGCTCTTTTCCCAGTATCCTTTGCTTCTGTTTCTCTTTTAATTTACCTGCGACCCCACCGCTCACCTCCACGGGAGTGGGGACCAGAGGGCGTGTTCCCCTGGGGCCACCAGGAAGCGTCTTCCTTCCCTCAGCCTTGCCACCACGTTGACCGCTGGTGTTGTGGAGTTGGGTCCGTGAGCCGTGAACCTGTGGCTCGTGACACATCCTCTGGGTGTGGCAGGAGGCCGCGGCCGGCGAGCACACGAGGCCGCTCAGCTGGTTCTTCTGTGGGCCGGCGCTCTGCGCACCCGCCGTGCCCATCTCAAGCTTCTCTTCAGCGCTCACCTTTGGCTTAAGCTGTATGCTTTTGTTACTGTGCAGTGAGGAAGCTAGGAGTACGGAAGTTTCTCCTCAAGTCTAAATTAGTTTTATCCCCCACGGGGAGAGTAGGCACCCACATTCTTCTTCCTTCTTGGAGCCCAGGCTCTGGGGCCCGTGTTCTGAACTTTGTTCCCAGTGACTTGCAGAGAGGGATAAAAGCCCAGGAAGGGGCACAGCTTGAAACCACGGGTGTCTAATTAGGCCTCTCTCTGTCCTTCCCACTTTCCTCTGATATTGTCACTCTTAAGAGACGGGGGGTGTACTGAGCTCTGCAGGCTCAGTTGTGTGATTTCCTGACTGCCTTGCAGAGCAGGCCACTTCCTTTTCACAGACGACAGGATCCAACCACAAACCTCAGCAGGGGAGAGTAGGGTGGGGTAGGGCTGCAAACATGATGTTAGTAACTAATGCATTTCTTGAGATTCTGAATGGAATTACATTGGAAGGACGTAATCATTTAAAGAAGTCAAAGGAGTGTTTTGAAAAAAATATTTTAATTTTTGTGTCAATTTTATAGGATAGCGAATATTACAACTCTTTGAAATGGATCCTAGAAAATGACCCAACTGAACTGGACCTTATGTTCTGCATTGATGAAGAGAACTTTGGGCAGGTATGTGTTGTCGGTGGCCACCCGCACTCACCCTTGACTTTCAGAGTCTTTGCTTCTGCACAGGCTGTACCACAACTTTGCTGGACAATTAAAAACAACCACCAGGAGCTTTAGGTATTCATTATCATCTCATTGTATCACCAGAACCTTATTGTCATGCCAGCAAGCTAATCCCAATGACAGCTGCCTCTCTTCCTGCAAAAGAGAAGTTGCTCAGTCGTGTCCAACTCTTTGCGACCCCATGGACTGTAGCCTACCAGGCTCTGTCCATGGGATTTTCCAGGCAAGAATACTGGAGTGGGTTGCCATTTCTGTCTCCAGGGGATCTTCCCAACCCAGGGATTGAACCCAGGTGTCGCACATTGCAGGCAGATGCTTTACTGTCAGAACCACTAGGGAAGCCAAAGAATTTCTCTTCCTGCAAAGTTAGAGAAATTCTAAGGCCTCTGGGGCATGAAGTAGTACCTACTTCTCATCTAAAGTAGATTTGAATGTGAATGTTGGTTCCCTGGTTTTAAAATTTAGGTATAGTGTCAATGTTTACTTAGTGATGTAGATATGTGACCAAGAGTAGGTGATGTCTGGGGGACCTTGATTTTTCCCCTCTGCTTTGATAGTTCCCTTGTCATGATGAAATTTCTCTTTGAGGGCTCAGCAGGCTCAGGGTTTTCTGACCTTGCTTGGCACCTGTACTGTCCTTGTGGTTCAGTTAAGTTCTTGTCTGACTCTCTGCGACCCCATGGACACCAGGCCTCCCTGTCCTTCACCATCTCCCAGAGCTTGCTCAAACTCACGTCCATTGAGTCAGTGATGCCATCCAACCATCTCGTCCTCTTGTCCCCTTCTCCTCCTGCCTTCAATCTTTCCCAGCATCAGGGTCTTTTCAAATGAGTCAGTTCTTCACGTCAGATAGCCAAAGTATTGGAGTTTCAGCTTCAGCATCAGTCCTTCCAATGAACATTCAGGACTGATTTCATTTAGGATGGACTGATTGGATCTCCTTGCAGTCCAAGGGACTCTCAAGAGTCTTCTCCAACACCACAGTTCAGAAGCACCAATTCTTCGGTGCTCAGCCTTCTTTATGGTCCAACTGTCATATCCGTACAGCACTACTGAAAAAACCAAAGCTCAGGCTGTGTTAACTGTAAAAATTAATTTCAAAGATAAAATTTGCCTGCTTGGAATTCTCATCATCACCCTGAAGTTGTGTAGGGATGTGTTACCTCTGATTCATTTGTCCCCTGTGATAACACTGGTTGGGGAGGGGGGGGGGATGGGCAGGGAGGGTCTTCTCAAGGTGTTATCCAGGTTCGGCTCCTGTCCTTTCACAAAAGCCCGGAGAGAGTTCCATCTCCCAGACCAGATCTCATGGCCTTGACCAAGTTCATGAGATCGGGGAGCCCATTTTAAGGGTTGTCTATGAAAAATGATGTTGCTTTTGTTCTTTATTGCATCAGAGATTACTGAAGTGTCCTCCACTGCCCCAAAAGTGCGTTCACATTCTCTTTTCTAGTCACAGTGCTGGGCTCAGTTTTATAAGTGAGGAGAGGAAATAAGGTCCCTGCCCACTTGGGTTCACAGTCTTAGAAAAAAGAAGCTGATGCCGCCGTATATGAACGAATTTCTGACAAAGAGAGGTGGGGGCAAAAACTATCCAGCGACAAGGTGATCACATAGATTCCAGGATTATTGTTACATATGCTTGAGCCAGGAGCAGTCACTCATGTGGAGCCTGGGAGTGGGCGGGACTCGGGGAGTCTGTTTTCTTTCCTTCGTGGTTGGTACAGTTGAGGCTCATAAAATTTCAAACGCCAGGGATGAGAGAGACCTTGTGATAAATGTAAATGATCAGTGAATTCATTTAAAAATCTTGTTTGCCCTCCCATCCTTTTTTTGCTGCATATTGTGCTTCATGACCAAAAATCTTCACAGACCAGTGGACGCCACCTGTCCTTGTGGGAGTCTTGTTGTCTGGAAGGGGGAGGGAAACCTTTTCTGCACACCCGCCCCCCCCAAGGTGTCCCATCCAGATTAACAGTGCTGCTCCCCCCCTCCCCAGGACTAAATGTAAATGGGTTCCTGCCCTTAATCTGCTTCCTTCCTCTGCTGCTGCCCCTTCCCTTGAGCCCCTGCAAATCACCCCTCCTCTCCCCCGTCACCCCTCCCCCCTTCACCCTTCCAGCTCTTCCAAGTCCCGCTGCTTCTGTCGGCCCTACAACCTGGATGCTCCTCTGCCTGCTTCTTTTCTCCTCCAGACCCCAACGCTCAGTCACCATGCAGTTCGGGTTCCACCCATCTCTGCGCTGCTCACCCCCACCCCCGTCTCTTATCTCCAGTCCACACCCCTCCTCTCGTGTCCAGATTCCCCCTGGTCTCCTGAGCCCCTCCTCTCTCCAGAAAGACCCACAGGTCCCGGAACTGAGCTAAAGCCACTCCCTCCTCCCAGCCCCGGCCCCTGCCTCAGTCTGATCAATGGCCCCCACCCCCTCCACCTTGGCCTCTTCCCCCTTTCTTCCCACGAGTCCTCATCGCTTCCCTTGTCCACACCTTCCCTCGCTCAGGCCCCTGGTCCCCACGTCGTCCCCTCTCCAGCCCTCCCCCTGAGGCCCCCACACGTGTGCTCCGGGTGTGGTGTGTGTGGAAAGCACACCTGGGTCCAGAGCCGTCCTGCTCAGCACCTTCCCCACTGGCTGCCCCGTGCCCTTCAGTGTGAGCCAAAGCCTCCCCAGCATGGCGCACCTTTGCCTGCCCTCCCGACACCTCCTTCCTCCACCTTCACAGCCATGGGGCGCCCACCGTGCTGTCCCCCAGGACGCCCCGTGCCCTCTGCTGGCTGTGCAGCACCATTTCCTTGCCAGCCCCCCTGCCCCCGTGGCGCTCCCCACACTGACCTCCAGCCACCACTGACCAGCTGCCTCCCCTGAGCCCTCGAGGTTCCTGGGTTTCTACAGGGCCCAGCGTGTAGCGATGCCTACTGCATGCTTAGTGAGCAAAGGACTGAATCGTACTGATCTTGTTTTTTTAATGTTACAAGTAATGGAAGCTCCAAGTGTGAGAAAACAAAATGTAATTGGAATTGTGGTGACTTTTTATTAAGCTGGACCTTTTTTTTTTTTTTAAGGGTCTTGACTGCCAATTTTCAAAGGGTAACACATGGCTGATCATCCTGGAACTGTGTCGTCTTTGCATTTTTAACACATGGAGGGAGAAGTAAAGAGCCAAAGAGACTTAAAATCAGTCTTGGGGTGTCAGATGCAAAAAGAAGGGTCTTGTGTGTTTATCCTTACAGAGCTCCATCCGTGCTCAGTCAGGTCCCTCTGTCATGTCTGACTCTGTGCAACCCTTTGGACTGTAGCTCTCCAGGCTCCTCTGTCCATGAGATTCTCCAGGCAAGAATTCTAGAGCGGGTTGCCATTTCCTCCTCCCGGGCATCTTCCCAACCCAGGGATGGAACCCATGTCTCCTGCGTCTCTTGCTTTACAGGCGGATTCTTCACCGCTGAGCCGTCAGGGAAGCCCATAGAACTCCATATGACTAACTTAAATAACACAGTTCAGAAGGCGTTACTGATGCCATGATGAGATGCAGACTCCCTGAGAAACCTTCCTCAGTCACAGTTAAATGTAACTATTTCTACCTAACAAGTACAACCAAACAGAAAATGTTTGCATTTTTAAGTAGACTTCTGATAAAGATTTTGATGATCGTCATAATTCATTTCAATTATTCATTAAAAACAATTCTCAAGCCTCCTCATTTAATGTGGATTTTTCTGACTTTGGATTGAATCAGGTAGAGTAATGCAGTAATGAAAACAGACTCGCGAGATGATTAAGATAATGATGAGGTGCCCTATTTGTGAAATGCCTTTCCTTTTTAGAGAGCTAAACCTGATTAACAAAGAACTAGCATATCTATTTTGTATTCTGGAAAAAATACAGAGTGAATTAAGCAGCTGCACCTAGCTCTCATCTCCCACGTTCGGTCCATCACGGGGCCCTGTTCATTCTTACCTCCCTGCTGTTCCTCAGCTCTCTCTGTATTCCCTGTCTGCCCCCACCAACACCTGAGGGTAAGCCACCATATACATATCATATGGCTTCTCCTGTGACTCAGCTGGTAGAGAATCCACCCGCAATGCGGGAGACCTGGGTTCGATCCCTGGGTTGAGAAGATCCCCTGGAGAAGGAAAAGGCTACCCACTCCACTATTCTGGCTTGGAGAGTTCCATGGACTGTATAGTCCATGGGGTCGCATATAATATATAGTAATAAATATTTTATATATATATATAACTATCTGTTTACTGGCTGAGCTGTCTCTGTCGCTGCTTGGGCTTTCTCTCTCTGCAGCGAGCAGGGCTGCCCTCTAGTTTGGGGCGTGGGTTTCTCATCACAATGGCTCCTCTTGTTGTGGAGCACAGGTTCTAGGGCTCAAGGGCTCAGTAGCTGCAGTTCCCGGGCTCTAGAACACAAACTCAGCAGCTGTGGCACACAGGGCTAGGTGCTCCACAGCACGTGGGGTCTTCGATCTTCCTGAATCACGGATCGAACTCATGTCTCCTACATTGGTAGGCAAATGGGGACGCCCCTCTTGTAGATGTCTAACTGGTCTTTTATATCCACCTTGGAAGGAAAGTTATGACCAACCTAGATAGCATATTAAAAAACAGAGACATCACTTTGCCAACAAAGGTCCGTCTAGTCAAGGGTATGGTTTTTCCAGTGGTCATGTATGGATGTGAGAGTTGGACTATAAAGAAAGCTGAGTGCTGAAGAATTGATGCTTTTGAACTGTGGAGTTGGAGAAGACTCCTGAGAGTCCCTTGGACTGCAAGATCCAGCCAGTCCATCCTAAAGGAGATCAGTCCTGGGTGTTCATTGGAAGGACTGATGCTAAAGCTGAAACTCCAATACTTTGGCCACCTGATACGAAGAGCTGACTCATTTGAAAAGACCCTGATGCTGGGAAAGATTGAGGGCAGGAGGAGAAGGAGACAA